AGCACCCACAAAAACCTGAAACCAGTGTTTTACCCCAGTGTAAGTAAAGGGTATATACTGTAAATGTGTTTTAATGATAGTGGTGTAGCCTGTTATTTGACTTTGATTAAAAAGAGGAAAGAAACCGCCTCAGTACAGATTCACTTCACTCATACAGTCTCATATCTTTCTATGCTAACAATGAAATCCTGTGTAAATCTCTTTTCCCTCTTCTGTTCTGAAGAGAAGTCCAGCTGTGAAGTGACGGAGCCCAGCGGGAGAGCGATGGGCTGTGGGGGAAGCAGGACGGACGCTCTGGAGCCTCGCTACCTGGAGAGCTGGACCAAAGAGACGGAGTCAACATGGCTGACCAGCACCGACACTGACATCCCCCTGTCGTCCATCCAGAGCATCCCCTCTGAGAACTCCGAGGCCGGCTTTGCTTCGGAGAAAACAATCAGCCCTGGTGAGAAAAATGAATTAGAGCTGAGTGGATGTTGGAATTAATAATCATCTCCTAACAGGAACAGGCGGTATTCTAGCTGCTGAACTGATGAATAAAACACTCATGGTTGTATAAATTATGAGTTTATTAGATTCCCACTGCAGAATACAGTGTATTTGCAATTCTAATCTATTTTATTCTATATTCTACATGCTAATGCACTTTAGTTGTTTGCTTGGCTGTGGGTATTTATACATCTTTGCACCAAATGCACGTTCAACATTTTAAATTGCTGCATAATGAGGTTTTTGATCCGTGGGACTGTTTTAATGTATCTCGGACACTGAAGACTTTGGGCCAATCTGATTGGATTAGCAATGACAATTTGTCAATGACAAAAATAAGCCATTATGCAAAAGCAAAATTAAAGTTACAAATTGAAAGAGAGTTGTGGTGAGAGTCATTCTCCATCTAAGAATTAAATATGACATGACGATGTGTAAAACATTTTTTTTACATGGATCTGACTGTCATTTTCTTTTGTGTTAATGTGTCTACTCTGAACTGCGGCTGCACTCGTCTTTGAAGCCAGGGGGGGATGAGACAGTAAATGGAGGAATAATAGGTTACATCAGAAGCCAGTGTGCTCAAACAGGCCTTGGCTCTCTTGGCAACCGGTGGAGCTGTGACTGAATCCAGGCAGAAGAGCCTTGATGTGATTGTGAAGACAAATAAAGCACAGCATCGCTCCGAGAGGATAAAACAGATTCAGAATTGGTCAGATTAATCAGCGTCTTGTAACCACAGACTGTATCAAAGAGTGGCGCAGCGATATGGTGACTGACACGAGCATCTGTTATATGTGGCAAAGAAACGGTTACGCGGTGATGCAGGACTTGCTCTGATTGTGTCATAATAACAATGTGAGGAATGCCAGCATCCAATACACCACAGCTGTGTGCACATACAATTCACTTCACAGTGATGTTGTTATGTTTTCCATAATTGCTCATGTTGGCACAGTGGTACAGTGGTTTTCCCTCTCTCATCACAGTTTGGCCGGCGTTTGTTCTCCCTTTGTCCAAACACATGCAGATTGGTGTTATGTTAACTGGGGACTCTAACTTGAACATAGGTGTGATGTGAGTGTGAACAGTCCCCCAAGACCCCCTGAAGGAAAAGCGGTATAGATAATGGATCGATGGATAATTGATCACACTGTATTTAATTAGTTCAGTGAAAGCAGTAAACAGCCTATAAGTTGTGTGTATGCTGACTAACGCTATTTGATTTACAAAATATCCAATTCTGCATCTTATCGATCATAAAACTTGTTATAATCGTTATATTGCCATGATTGGAATACATCTTTTCCTCATGTTTTGCTATTTTAAAAGAAGAATGCAGTACTGAATCAAAGCTCAAGTGCTGTATACTGCTCCAGTTGGTTGACCATCTGACTTCTTCATTCTGTGAATCCAGGAAAACGCAGTCCAGTTTTATTATTAACTTTTTGGCCACAAACAGGGTTTCAACACCCAAATGACTCATCGTTTCAGATTGCACCATATGAATAATCTCTGGAGTCATTCTTTTTATTTTTATAGTGAATATTTTAAACTGCCTCCTCTTCTCTTTCTGTGTCTTTAATCCACCTCTTCCATTATAACTTGTGTACGATACCATTCTTCCTAGATATTCCTTTGTTGTTCTTCTGCCTCCTGCATGTTTGCTTTGCGGATATTCGATTTAGCTTCATTGTGATCCAACTGTGGTTTATCAGGATGCCTTCTGGAAATCTCTGTTTGCATCTACTTTTGATTTCAATTTTTCTTACTTTAAAGCATCTGAGCCATCACACCTACAGTATACGCCTCGGAAAACATCTGTGTCATGTCCATGTGTTATAGATGTGTGTATTGGGACTGAAACTACATGTTCGGTCAATAAGTTGGGATGACCTGTAGTCAGTATCAACAGTACATTACCTGTGGTTTTGTTGTTTCAGGAAACAAATTTAAGTTTTTCTTTTGCTGCAGTTCCAGATTTCTTTGAGGACGGCCTCCCCCCTCCGGCTCAGGCGTACCTGAAGGTCTGCTCTGCCGTGTCGGAAGTCAGTCTGAATGATGTGAAACCCAGCAGCCCTCCTGCCATCCTGCCCTCGCCACCCAAAGAGGAGGTGTTGCCTTCGTCTGGCACCACGGTGCAGCGGCGGAGTGTTCTACACACTGAGGAAATCGTGAGTCTCACGCTGGATGTCTTTCAATTATTGTTGTTTTCCTCCGCTTCTCTGTCTTTATCTTTTATAGTCATTCAATTAATATTAGGAATAAAGAGCTGTGGGAGTCTCACTTGTGGATAAAAAGTGTTCCTTTGTTTTTAAATTCTTTTTTCAGATTAGTTTATTAACAGTTGATGATGAGATGCAACTATTTTAATAAATTTGGTTGTTTGTATTTTAAGCATAAGCAAACATTTTCTAGTCCAGTGTCTCTGATGATAGAATTTTGATTTTGTTTTTGATCATACACGATATTAAATGGATCCTTGGCAAGATAAAACAAGACATCTTAAAATCACTGTGGCCTGTGGGGAAATTTAATGTATAATTTTCCAACAAAAAAACAAATACATAGCTCTCATGCCAAATAAACCCAAAAACAAGTTTTATGGTGTATTACTATTTACCATGTCCTGTCTTTCATTCCCCACCATCCCCAGACAAAATGGCAGGACAATCGGATGTCCACAAAGCAGGTGACCATCACGGTGACGCAGAGCATCCATCAGGTGGACAAGAACGGGAAGGTGAAGAAGTCGCTCACCACCTACGAGGTGATGAAACCTGTGGAGAGTCTGAAACAGGTGGCCACACAAAACACTTGAGAGGATGGAGCCAAAGAAAAATGATGACTGGGAAATCAACAAACTGAAAGAGCGTGAAGGCTGACGAAGCACAAGAGGGACGTGTGAGACTCTTTAGATTATGAGACTGAAGTCCGGATATTTTCTCATTTTGTTAAAACACATAACATGGGCCATTTTGTAGATAATATCATGAAATGTATTTCTATTGTGCCTGTTGCCACCATGTTTCACTGTATTTTGTCACTTTGAACATATGTAAAACATAAAACTGTAGTTTGTTATAAGAAAATATAAAAAAAAGACATTTTGCAGGAATATGATATCAGACCAAAAATAAATGAAGAATTCACACTGTATCACAGCAGATGACCCCTTTTTAAATTCATTTGGCAAATTCAAATTTCACAAACCTACTAGAATTTTCACTTTAAGATGCTTCTTTTAAGGACAAATATATGTGTTAATGTATCGTTACAGTTTTATTTGAAGTCATTGAATCTTCACATGGCATAAATACATTATAGTGTTCGTTTGACACTGATGAGTAGCTGCTGCTGTGTTACAGTCTGTGTGGCTCAGGTAACTGAACTTGTGACGACTGTAATGTTTACAGTGAAGCCTGGACAGGAGGTTGTGTCTATTGTGTTTTCTAATGACAATAAATCTAATACAACATTTACGGACCTTATTTCAAAATACTGCACACGACGAGGAAAGAAAATCTGTTTTAAACGACACATGCATGGAACATAGTGGCACTTAGAGGAAGTGACGTGAACAATAAACATGTGTTCTCACAGTATCACGTAAAGCATGTGGCATCAGCAGCTGGTCTTTATCTTTGAGTCCTTATGCTTGTGTCTTTGACCTGTGTGTTGATGATCAGCAGATCTGGGGTCAGCTTTGTGCTGAAAGTGTGTGGATCTGTTTTTGATGATCGAAGTGTAACTGTCCAGATCTGAACGCCGGCTCCTGTTTCTCCATCCACTCGTCCACACAGAAGTCCGGGAAGAAGAAACCGATTTCTCTGTGTGCTGACTCAACAGAATCTGGAGAAAGGATCAGAAAGAAAAAAAAAATCTGGATTTTGAAAACTTTCTAATTCAACAGAAAAACTTGAAAATTAGTTTAAGAAGCCAAACTGGGTGTATTGTTGAAAAATAAGACTCTTGAGAACTCATGAATAATTGATAAGATAATTTATTAACTTAATGCAAATATTGAGAAAAATTGTATGATGCACTACTGTAGAAACACTTTATAATTCACTATATATCACAATGCATAATGATTTTAAAGGTACCACTGTTTGTGTTAAGACTGTTAAACTAATCTGTCCAATTAATGTTAAACCTGATGAAACTGCAGTGTGGGATGTGATAGTACCATGTGATAACGCAGGGGGTGAAAACCTAGTGTATACTGTATTTAAATCCATGATCCATTTCCTACCTGAGCCGTGAGTTGTGTTCCGTGTGTCTGTGAGTCCAAACTGGGCCCTGATGGTGGCGGGGGAGGTGTATCTGGCTCTGAACACTTTGGTGGGTCCCATCAGTTCTCTCCAGTGACGTATTCCGTCCTCTCTGGCTAAAATGTACGCACGCATTGGACCACTGCGACAAACAAAGAACCCAACAGTCACAACTGAATGTTTCCAGTCAGTGCACATAATGCTCTGTGAAGCTGTTACACACAAAGAGCTGTGGATGCTGTCTCGGCTTTAAAGGATCAGAGTGTAGAACTCAGCTGCAGCCTTCGTGTCCTGGTGAAAAACCCTCCCAACATGTCACCTTTTTCTTTAAAGCATCAGCTGGGAAATTAAAACCAAACTATTCAGATAATTAAACCATTGAAGATACAGTGTAATCAGCTTCAGCAAAACCGTCTTAACAGGAGCTTACGATGCTTGTTTTATTTCCAGTAACGCTCCGCACACCCAGAGAAAGGTTAGTGTGGTAAGAACTCCGCAGTCCAGTGGTTGTTAAATGCATATGGAGCCATTATAAGCTGGCTACATGCCAATTTTCAGACAATTGCTCCGGGGTTGTTGTGCTTAACATGGCACTCGGCTGATAATTGAAAAACTGTGGTGAAGTTTCAGAAAATGATTTAGTGGTGACTTGCTGAGCGTGAAATAGGAACACCACCGTCTGAGGGGAGCCTTCTCTGTGCCAGCTCAGTGGGTTATCAGGTATGAAATGTCCTTATTATTCCATTTCGAATGCATCAGACAGAAAACCACATTTATTCAAAGCCATGAAAGCAGAATGATTTGGGATTTGCACATTTACTGTGTGAAGTGGGGCTCACCTTGCCATGAATTCAACAAGTCTTTGATAGAAGAATCGCTCTAAAGCACAAAAGGGTTCAGTTCAACGTTTCAACCAACATACATCAACTAAAACAGCTGCTGACTCGTGTGTAGTGATATAGAATCGCTGGAAGGATCGAAGCAAGACAATAACAATATAGAGTTACAGACATGAGTTGTATACACACCTGAGTGTTCCGCGTAGAACCTCTCAGAGTCCTGCCTCCTCCACACCAGATCTTTGCGTCGAACAATGACAAAGTTGTTGTCCAAGATTCTCTGGTGAAGAGCCTGAGAGGGAGAAAAAAAAGAAGACATATTTATCCTTTCTGAGTCAGACTAGAACTGAGAAAACAACTTTATATATCAGTGCTTGAATCACAAAGTAAGAAAAGGCATTTCTTCCACAAATCCTAGCATCGAATAAAATATTATAACCAACCTTAAAGTATAATTATCATTTGAACACACTGCTCCTGTGATCATCCAGGTGTCTGTTTGCCCCAACATTCAAATTCGAGTTTCAAAATGGCGTCATTGACACCAACTTTTTAGGCTTAATGTCAGAGAACTGCAGCAGTGATTAGGAGGACATCAGAGGACATTACGACTTAAAAGTAATGAAGCCGCTTCGAGTCAAGTTTGAATGTCGGGGCTTACGGACACTTGGATGAAACCCCAGGAGCAGCGTGGAGGCATGTTATCTTTTCTTCTGTTGATTTTATTTGTTTGAAGACGTGATCACCAGTTACTTCAGTTGTATTGGATTTGGCTGCAACACTGTTCACCCCTGAAACTCCAGAAGTGTTTTGTGGACTCAAACACTTCAACCACCTCCATCGTCACAGTGGTGAGTAGATAATGAGAGAGTTTTTCATTTTTTTTGGGTGAACTTGTCCATTAGACAGCATTGATCACTCTCTCTAAGACCTTAAACAACGGAAGTGGCCTTCAATATAAAACAGTGTAAAGTTGCTGTGTCTGCACTGACCTCCAACACCAGTGGGTGAGCCACCGCGTCGGGTTTGATGACCGCCAGGGTGAGCTGCAGCACTTTGGACAGACGAGCCGCTGTGAGCTTCATGGTCTGGAGACACGAACACAGTGTTACCATCACACGCGTGGCTGCGTTCAATGTCTGACGTTACATCAAGTGAAGGCAGCGAAAACACAACAATGTCCAATACATCTGGTTACCATCACGACACAGTTGATGCAACTCCGATAAGATTAAATCCCGGTAATGTTCACAAGTCAGCTCTGAATCAGTGACAGATACTAACCTCTGTTCTGTCTGTTTTTCAAAATAAAGGTCACATATCAGAGGGAAACACACTCCGCCGCCATATGAACGCGTTACTTGAAGTCGTTTAAAAAGAGTATACAAGTAAAACTGGTTTTAATTTTGTTCAACTAAAGGAAAGACGCAGGAATATTAAAGTTAATGTAACGTTAAAATGTGGTTTTGTCGCTGAGTGGCTCCTCGCACCGTTCGGTCCGTTTGTAAATACGGTCCCCGGAAACTCAGCCACCACATGAGGTTCCCACTGGCAGAGAGACAGACAGTATCAACATACAGCGGATATTAAAGCTGCACAACTAAATATTACATGAGCCTAATAGGTGTCGTGTCTGACCACTGACAACAAGAGACTGCTTTTCATAAAGCTGATGTCAGATCTGTGCTCTCTCAATAACCATGTTTGAGTAAATGAACATATTAACTGTAGTTAAAGATATTATTTTACCTAAAGGTGAATAAAAAGTCCACAATGAAGAAGCACAGGCACTTATCGTATATATCCCAGCCACTCAAGAGCAATTGGAGTGAAATATATACATATTTTATGTCAGCTAATTTTACTATACAGGCCATTAAAGAAAGCTATTGTCTTTATAGAAAAGGGTCAAAATAAAGGGTGTTTAAACCGAAGGACCGTCATGTATAGATTTATATTCATACTGTTGGTTTTGACATACAGTAAACATACACAGTTTGGCAAGAATAGAAATAATACTTAACTTAACTTAACATGACAAAAAAAAGGAAAGAGGCACATGCCTGTACTGAATATGTAAACAATTTCAGTTGAGTCCATCACTTTATCACTACTCTTTGCAACATATAGTTTTTGAAGCTGTGTATATCCTACTTGTTTCATTACATAATTATACAGTTCGTTTATCTGCTGTAATATGAGTTTTTATCACAGATATACATTTTTGAATATTTAAGTTATGTTATGAACTTGCTCACCCCCAGTGGTTTGACACATTTCAAAGTAACCATTGATCCATATCTGCATGTTAGATTAGTGCCACTGGAGGGCAGTTTATCATCTGTGCAACATCTACATTGGGCTGAATAAAACTTCTCTGAGCTTCATTGGAGTCATAGAGCTGTGAGGTTGGATATAATGGCTGGGCTCATTCATGATAAGATGCTCTACTAACTGACAGCTCAGTGGAGAGAGCCAGCGACATGGCAGCTACAAGCAGGGACCAGAGTGAGAGAGATCCTGGAATTTCATCAATGTGGAGATCAGACATACAGTATGAGTTACAAACACGGAGCACATTCCAGCAATGCAAAATGGACACACCCTTGAACAGAGGAGATTGTGCGTGTGTCTGTGTGTGTGTGTGCCTATGTGGTGTGACATTCAGAGAGAGAAAGAGAGTGAGAGAGAATAGGAGGAAAGAAAGGGGGGATGGATGTCCCACATAGGTTTTCCCACCTGCCCATGTCATGTGACTCGGGGTGACACCACAGCTGTTACCTCCCCTGGGGGGGGGGATGGAGAGGACGTGAGGATACTTTGGGTGGGCACATTTTGGAAAGTATATAGCATTAAAAACCTATTTATACTTTTACACTTTATAAGGTTCAGTGATAAAATATATTTTACCATTACTAGATAAAGGTATTTATTGAATTCAATGATGTTTGGATGGAAGAAAAATGGGGGATAGCGTAATAATAATGATAATAAATAATAATACATTTTATGTGTTTAGCACTTTCAACAAAGCTCAATTATAAAATTCACATCAAATTTACATATTGAAATATAAGAAACACTTGATAATCAAATGTTGAAAGCAGTTGTGAAAAGGTTGGTTTTGATCAGTGTTTTGAAAGTTGACAGATAATTTTACATCATAGCATCTTTTATCTTATTATAGTTATAGCTTGTACTAATGTACTTTACCTCTATAAATGAGCCTTGTAGCTTTAGTTGCTCTCTGACTACCTCGCACTGCAGCCTATTGTCTTCTCTGTCAACATTCATTGCCTGAGGACGTGCAACAGAGAGACAGTAACAAGATCATCAAATGTCAATATTGTGATCAAACACAATCTCACCGGCATCTTGCTAGGTTTTATTTTTGATTAAATAGTTTAGCATACACTTAAGAGCTGACAGGAACCAACCTTCCTGGTTGGACCTCACAGAGGAGGGTTGGATGTAAATGGTGTAATCATGAAGTCAAAATATTAAAATCAGAACTTGATAATTGTCCAAAATGGAAAAAGTGGAAAACATGAATTTGAACAATGGAAAAGTTTATATTGTCCTAATCTAGATTATGGTGCTAATGCCTCATAGATAATACAATTTAAAAACATACATACAAATTTGACACTTTCCATAATCAGAGGCACGATCACAGAAAAATAACTGAACGTATTTGAACAAAACTTGGTGGAAGGATGTGTTCAGGGTCAGGGAAGAACTCAGCAAATGTTGGTGTGTGTAATTTGGTGCAGCTTGATTGAATGTAAGGAGACTGCTCTAGATTCTCCATGTTTCTTAGAAAATCTGGAACATTTACAGCATTTACAGAAGATTTCTACCTCCGTCATCCCCTACAGAGCTGGATGATCGTAATATATGTTGATTTAAGTTTGACGTTTCTCCCAAAGAGAGCTTTCAGAGGGGGAGACCACCTGTCTCTCCTCAGCTGGACGGCTGATTCAGCTGACCCCCCACCCCCCCACCATAAACCCTGTCTCTGTTTCATCTCTGTGTCACCACTGCTGCTGCTGCTGCTGCTGCTGCTGTTGCTGCTGTTGCTGCTGCCGCCGTTGCTCCTGACTCTCCTGCAGTTGTCGTTCCCTTTTGGTCAGAGTCGGGGCAGCTGACTGACGACCCCCACAGGCTTTTGCTGTCTATAGGCTGCTCTGCATTCATTCCTCCATCGGGAGCCACAGTAAAGGATCATGTGAAAATATGTTCCACTGCACCAGAGGAAAGATTGTTAATGTGATGCCAACCAAGGACTTTTGTTAGATGGGTATTTCTGTGGTAATGTTACTTTAACTGCAGACGTAATCAACGAATCAAGTCAATCCCAAAAACTCAAAATCACCAAATTGCCTTTTTCTTTCCAAGAAATGTATTGAAATTAAACTTATTGTATTAATCTAAAATAATAGCATAGTATTAACTTATATTAGAAACTAATTAGGAAATGAAGTACTGGTAAATAAAGCATTATATGACGTAATAAAGTGAAACCGGTTGGTTTCCACACTATTCCGACCTCAGTCCTCAGCAGAAGATTAAACAGTTATTAGATATTAGCACTTTGAAAACTGAAACGTTAACCTTCTTTCTGCTTGTATGAATAATTATTGATATAGCCATGTTATGATACACTGTATTTGTGCAGTTATTTTGATAAACTGGTGGATTTAACTATCCAGTCATTCAATTCTGTATATTAAGTTTATCTACCTTATAAATAGTGAGGTTATGCAGGATGCTGTCATGGGTACATAGTTATTTTAAATAAAATGCTTACACAGGCTGTTGTTTCCTATTTTCCCATCTACAGATCCGTGAAAATGCTGTTGCAAGAGCGATGTAAATAAACTACTCAATGAGAGAGCTTCCATATTACATGGAGAAAAATATACAGTCAGGTTTGAGCTCTGCTGCGCGCCGATCCACCACATTGCAGCTCACCTGTCACCCGGTCAGAGGCCGCCAGCCTGACCATTACAGCGGGGTCATTTAGGGGGACAAAGCCCCCGTTCTGACACCCAGGGGACCCTTTTATGTCTTAATTGTTTGATTGGTGAGAAAAGACAGGGACATGTTTCCTGTTCTATCACCTTTTGGGGGCGTCAGTGACAGATCAGAGCGTAATTAAGTAGCAGCAGAGATGAAACCTGATGGAATCAAACGTGGTCACCTTTTGTTGACTTACATCGTATTCCACTGAGATTTGACGAAGGTTTATTTTTCTCTTAAGATCAGTTTTCTCATCATCTCTTGGTGCAAACAGCACAGAAATTATATGTGAATGTCTTTTAGTGTAAGATCAACCCTTCATCATTAAAATCTTCTCCATTCCCGAATCCGCTGATCTCCGTAGCATCTGTCCAATTCCCTCCGTCCCCTCGGTGAATCACGGGAGCGAGCCGCCTTCACCTTTCCGTCACCTGTTCTCTCTTTTAGCCTAAATGCCTGCGACCTCTGACCTTTTCTGTTCCATTGCTTCACCACACGGGACCATGCTCCTTTGCGACAGCTGTGTCAACCTCCGTCCCAGCAACTGTTGTGCCCAGGGAAGGACAGAGAGTACCATGTAATGAGTCATCAACATGCAGCAAAGTTCTGTTTTAACTTTGTTGGGATCAAGCAGCTCAATTTCACATCTCAGCTGAAGTATCATGAACAATTCAAACGTGAGCTTTTAGCTTGTCATTTTCTGCTACATGCTGCTTATTTGTTTGTGTTTTTGGTTTGTTAAGAGTCATCATTTATCTGCCACACATTTTATTTATTACACTATTTGTGTACATGATCCCATTTTCTGGCATTATGCAGATTATTTTGCAGCCATACAATCACAGACAACCTGTCAATACATCTTTGTGATATTAATATATGAAATAAACAACATTTAAAGGGATTTGACTCTCCAACTTCTGCAGGGGGTTCACTTCACAGTACCCAGGGATAATCTGCAAGGTTGCCCCATCACGTGCATGTGCAGGAACTGGTCTGGTGTCAGCTGCCAGTTTATTTATAACAATCAAAATCCATGTTATCCTGTACGGAAGAAACTGCTCTGGGCCTCGTCAGTCTTCTACCTGCCCTCCCGAGGGAAATTATTTCCTTCTGGCCAATAAAAGCACGTTGGGACACTGGCAACAGGGCAGATGGGATATGACAGCGAGGGGAACAAAGTGATTAGCAAACGGGGGCCCCGGGTATGTGAACGGGGGTTAAAAATAACCTTGTTGACTCAGTTTGTAGTTAACATGCAGCCCATGTGCCGTCATCCTCACATTTTGGTTTTAATTGTTCTTTAAAATGACTCAGTGGGTTTGATGAAGAGGTCAATCCTGCACTGAACCACACACACATGCATTTTTAGGGAGCGTTTCAATCGGATCATTGAATCTCAGGTGAATAAAAAAGAAGAGGGGCTGACAGATGAGGAAAAATCACAGAGTAAGATGAGATCTTCTGCATGATGCGTGACACATGATGAAAGACAGTCCGAAGCTGAACTGCGGCTTGGCCGGTGAGCCGGAATGTGACAGTGTTCAGCTGTCCCGTTAAGAGGAACAGCACGGATTACGATTTGTGTCTTAACCATTGTGTCCGGTGCGAGTGACCAAGAATCCACTCAGCGACAAAAGCCATCCGATATTTCTAGCGACCAGATATATCTGGCAAGGCCGTCGGTGCATAGCTGACATTAGTGGAAATGTTGCATTTGTTGCACTCCCTGGCCTCGGTCCATGGGAAATATTGAACAACTGTCGAATTTAGACAACATCCTGTGGCGGAGGAGGAAAAAAACCTGCGGAGCTACAAAGATGGGGATGGGGTTGCTATTTGTGGACGGCGAGTGCCTCGAAAATAGCGAGAGCATTGGGTTTCAATGTAAGCCCCTCTCTCTGAGCTCCAGCTTTCTGTGAATGAGGCCTGGGTTCCTATCACGCCCAACCCCGGTGCTGATTTTAGAACACAGGTGTTGACCTTAGTGGAGCGGCTTGTGCTTGCTGCAGAGGAAAATGAACCCCTGAGCTCGGCCCGCTGGCCTCCACAGTATACTGGTGATCGCTTCGTGGTCACATAGAAGCTTTAAAACACACATATATGGATCTACACATTCTATATGATCACTCAGAAGATATTAACAAGTACAATGAAAATAAAGGTAGTTTAGTAAACAAAAACAGCAAATGTTACACACATTGCTGCTTTATATGTGTAATGGCTTCCTGATGGTTTCTTTGAGGCCACTGGATAATTATTGCATTTGCTTTGGTTTCTGGTGCCTCAACAGCACCCACACATTTTATTCTCACTCATGTCGTCGTCTGCACCTCACAACACATGTGAATCACTGTGGAGCAGATGGATTCTGATCTGAAGACATGACTACGTCACATAAATTCATCTGGAAAATGTTTCTCGTTCGACAACAGGGGTCGTCACTTTTTCCTCAACCGTAAGCGATACAATGAAAGAAAAGTGAAGCCCCAGAATCCAAACTGGGATGAAACTCTGAAACTCAACCTTCAGCTTCAGCTGTGGCTCGTGGCCCCGGCTGTATAACTGCTGTTCTGACTGTACCCCCCCCCCACTCACCCAAAAAACTAATAAAACACACCCATCATGCAGTTGCTTCCTTGTTTCTCTGTATCTTGCTCTTTCTCCCCTTTTTTTTTTTACCTCCAATAAGGAGCCATTGACATTCGTTGTAAAATCGAGGCATGGTGGGGTGGGTTGGGGTGGGTGAACAGAGAAAAACGGCAGGGGTGTAGGGTGTCTCGAGCCCAGTGTGAACAGCTGAGAGGTGTGATTTCACAGGCTGGCTCCCCCTCTCTGTCAGGGCCCTGATTGGGCCGGACAGGAGGCACAGGAGAGGCCCGGGCTTCTAAAGGACACCAACAGGTGGGAGGCCGCTTTGGAGGGGGGCGCTCCCAGGGCGGGATAGAAAAGGCCGATCTGCAAGGCCTGTTGTGAGCACAATCCACCGGGCCAGATACGGAGGAGGGTGGCTTGGTGGCAGGAAAGCTGAGGTGAAGAGAGAAGAGCGGCAGGGTTGAAGTTGCAGGAACAGAGCTCAGGGAAGGTGGAGGGTCAGTTTGAGATGACGTCAGTGGGTGGAGAGGGCAGCTCCAGGGACAGACCTGAGGTCAGTGTGTGTTTTATCTGTTCTGTGGTAGCAGAAAGGGATTTTGCTCATGGTTTTCTGGTAGATTCAGACGTTCCTCGATTTGCAGCTCTGTGTGAGTAAAAACCAGGTGTCAAACCAGTTGTTAGATGTTCTCTCTCGGTTTTTACAACGGCCCAACAAACTCTGACGGGGCCCGACACCTCCGTCAGGTGAGAGGAAGCTGAGGTGTGACACAGGAAAGAATCAGGACATGATGGACTGGCCTTGTCTTGCGGCCATTTGGTTCGACATAGCAGCAGATTTATCCAGGGAGTCACAGACAGATAGACAGTTTCAGACGTGAGCAGGAGAAGCCGCCTGAAGCCACTGAGGCCTCCAGCTCGACCCCACAAGAGGAGACACAGATGAAGGTGAGTAAAACACATACAAAACCTCAGCTTTATTTCAAATGTGCTTATTTTCAACATTAGATTATGTTAAGTCTGTTCTTAAAACACTTTTATAAAGGACATTTCTCACATTTGTTGGGATCATCATGACTTGGCACAGCACTATGTTTAGGAAATAACACAGACTGTGACCTTCATCTGCCGGGAGTCAAAATTCAGCCTCTCCCTCGAGAGTTATTTACACACACTTCATCATCATCATCATCATCATCATCATCATCATCACACTGGCACTATCCATCCCAGAGCTGCATGTGGTATGTGGCTGCCTGTACTCTCTAATCCTCATTGTCAGGGTCAAACAGCGTCGTTCACATTTTCTCTTTAAAGGTCGGAAAGCTTTTAGTTTCTCACCAAATATAAAACTCGGAACAAGGATGTCCTCATTTCTGAATTTCCTGTGAATTGATCCAAAGCCACTGTCACGTGTTCCTGTGTTGCCCCCCCCCCCCCCCCCCCCCCCCCCCCCCCCCCCCCCCCCCCCCCCCCCCCCGTCACAGTTAACCACTGTTGAGCCGGCTCGTTTCCCACTGTACCCTGCATCTGCGGCTATGAAAGGGTGCTTTGTGCATGAGGAGATTCCAGTTGTTGCCCCTTGTGAGGACATGCTTCCTTATATCCCCATATTCATACAGCACTTATGGAATGTAAGGAAGTGTGTGGTTTCAAGGGGACATGAACGTCGTCAGCCGTGGACGGAGGAGGAGGTTTTATCCACTGTTTGGTTTTAAAAAGTGAAAATGAGGAGAGATGGGGCTACATTAGGTTGTGTGTGTGGGTTTTATGAGTTGGGAGTGTGTGTGTGTGTGTGTGTGTGTGTGTGTGTGTGTGTGTGTGTGGGGCAAGGCAACAGGTGAAAGGGCCTGTTCCCTCCTCTCCCTCAGCTCGGGCACGTGCACAGTTAGCATTTCAGGGCCCCGCTGATCGGGTCTCAGGGACTTCTTGAAAAAATTCCTAACCCTGCCCCAACTGCTGACAGTCAAGAAGGATTGACAGACCGCAGCTGTCACCCATTATAGCAACCACAGGGGAGGGAGGGAGGGAGGGAGGAAGGGAGGGAGGCAGGGATGCGGTGCTGTCACTGGGGGCGAAGGTTCACTCCTGTATAGCTGCAATGTCACTGGCTGTCAGGATTACCAGATTTCTAAATAGAAGCTTCTGCTCGGTAACTGTTCAGGTTGAATCAACACTGACTCTTAAATAAAGTAGTTTCTCTCTCTCTGTGTTTCATCAGGTAAGGCTGAAGAGGACATGACGGCCTTGCAGACGATGCCCACCTCCCATTTCCTCTCCTCCTCCCCTTTAGTTTCCCTCATTTTCTACCTACTCTAACTTCCTCTTCCTCCCTGCACACCTCCTCCTCCTCCTCCTCCTCCTCCTCCCCTCCGCTCTCTCTGGCTCTGCCTCCTGCAGCTGAAGCAACACGCCTTGCTGTGGCTGGTCAAACGGAACCAAGTCAGGTGTTTCTGTGAGGTTTGGTCCCCTTCAACCAGCTACTGCGGCGTGAATTCAGTCAGCACACACCGGCGTGGAATCACAGAGACACGGTGGCGTTGTGGCGTAATGCTGCACATACTGTGGAGGTGGTAGTCAACAAACAGAACAGGGTTTGATGTATTTTGCTGTGTGGTGTTGGTTTTGTTTCCTGTGTGATCATTTGTGTGTGAATAAATAAATAAAAGATTCCTTACAAAATACAGTGACAAATTTATATTGTGTTTTTCCAGAAAGGTCAGTAGTTGGAAACATATTCAAAGAGTCACATGTCCCTAATAGTTTCTTTTAAACTACGTAAGTGTCCCCATTTTCAAGTTATACAATGATACACAACGTGTCACCTTAATTAATTACCTATTATTATTCTAGTAAGTACACCAACATGAGAGGTTATCAATGACCTGTAAAAGTTGGTGTTAAAACATTTGCATCGCACTAATACAAGCTCAATAAAAATGTTTAAAATACGAAAACATTTGTATTGCCCATATTTACAATACACAATTTGCCTCATAGGGTTTGACAATCTGTTACATCTTCTGTTCAAAACCCAGGAAAACAAGAAAGAAATATTTTATTAAACCTCATGAGGCCAAAAAACTCTTTGGTTGTGATAAACATCTGTCTAACTTGTACATTCATGGATTTGTTTTGATGTACACAGATTATAAAAATCACTTTAAGGAATGCTATAGTCTTTGTCTAATCCAATTATTATTTATATTCAAAAAGGTAAAAAAGCAGATGAATAATTAAATATATGTATATTTTTGCTAAATGGAATTACTCATTATGAGACAAAACATCTGTCTGCCAATAAATCCTAAAAATCCATTCAATCAGAACCATTCACACGACAATTTTGGTTTGATTTATATTTCCCAGTATAAGTAGAGTTACAACTACTGACAACTAGAGTTACATGTTTACACTGACTATATTGAGCCTCTAAAAGTATATTTTGGCCTTTCTCGTTTTAGTATTGGTTATTCAGTATTTATTTAGTATAGTATAGTAGCTGTTAGTTACAGATATGAATGAAAACATCAGGTATTGAAATAAAAATAAGTTGGTGTGGGGAAGATTATTATGTTGGAGAATGGTGTCATTTCAGACTGAGATGAAACATGAAACATGCAACAAAAACTCCCCAAGCAGCCGTTTCTAAAAGAAGAATTAATGACAAAGCAACGAATTAAAATGTATTTGTGACAAATGATTGAACAAGTTTTAAAACAGAACGGATGCAGTGTCATGTTTGTCCACGAGGGGGCGGTGTAAAAGTTCCGCGGCCGTAGTTGCTGCAGCGGCGGAGGAAGCGAGGCAGCGTCGTAAACATGGCTGACAGCGGGGTGACAGGTGAGTGTGGGACAGTGTCCCAGCTCCACTTCACATCTCCCCGCGGACACTTTGGTCTTTTTGCTCAACGGTCGCGGAGACGCGATGTGTCGCACCTTCGTTTCGGGTTTCGTTGTCTTCCGCTTTGGCTTTTAGCGGAGTTTATCTCCAGCATGCTAGCTGTGCTAACGCTAGCATCGCGGTAGCATTGCGTGAGACACTGAAGTTTAACGGCAGGCGTGCTAACGTGTTAGCATCTGTTACGATAGTTTTATTTAGGGATAAGAGACGAAAGTAAGAGGCTTGTTTGTGTGTTAACTGTTCTGTGGACATGATGGCAGCAAGGCAGGTTAGTGACCGGCGTCTTTAGCGTGATGTTAGCTAACAGCCAAGAGCTAAGTGAAGTCAGTGTTGTCTGATCTGCCATCGATAAAAAAAACAGAAGTATGTGATGATTTAAGATAAAATAGGATAATCAGTCCTTGTTTCAACAGATGAGCCTGAGACGAAAGATGATATTGAACGATCAAAGGTCAGTGTTTGCGTTTTTATTGAATGATACAGTCACAGCTTGATTTCAAATCACACATCTGACCCTAACCCTCCTGTGTTCTTGGACCCTCCGTCCCCTCATCTGACAGAGTGAAGGCAGAGAGCTGACCAAGGAGGAGAAGCAGCGGCTGAGGAAAGAGAAGAAGCAGCAGAGGAAAAACAAAGAGAGGAAAGATGACAAGGAAAGTGAGAAAGAGAAGAAGTCTGTCCCCGCAGCATCTCAGCCTCCAACGCAACCCACGACACAGAAAGGTGGATGGGACCACTTATGCCACTCATTGCCACCAATGAGGAGGTTATGTTATCATCAGCGTTTGTAAATTAGACAACGGGAATATGTCAAAAACTGGACGTATTTCTAATTTCCTCGAAACTTGGTGGAAGGGAAGAATATATAAGATGTTGGTGCAGATCAAGGGCATCCAGGATTTCTTTCCACTTTCATTAACTTTGCGAGGTTTTTTAAACTTTTTTGTGGATTTTATTTTAGAGAGTAATTCATGGATGTTGATTAAAATAAAAAACAGACGTGTAGGGGACTGATGCAATTTGGTGCTGATCCAAATCAAAATCAGGATCTAGAGAATTAAAATGTGGTTTCATCAGGGGACTGTTGGGCCTCTGTGCTCTACTGTCGCCATTCTAGTTAGTATTATATTGATTTGTTGAGTATCAGAGTATTTTTGACATAAATATCACATGATGCCGTTAATCTGAACATCGACGCCTCCGTCTGTGCTTGTTTCCCTCAGCTCCTCCAGCAGTGCCTGCTCCTGCACCGGTCCCTGTGCCTGCCTCAGAAGCTCCTGCCCCAGCAGACAAGCCCACTAAGAGTAAAGCTGAACTAAAAGCCGAGAGGCGAGCCCGACAAGAGGCTGACAGGGCGTCCAAACAGGGCAAGAAGGGAGAGGTGGGTCCGCAGGCTTCCACTTCCAAACCCAAAGCCCCACCCAGCGAGCTGCAGCCAGGTACTGTAAAAGCCATGAGGTCAGCTCCAGTTGTGACACTGAGGAGAGACTCACACTTGTTGTGTGTTTCCAGTGGTGAAGAGGCTCCCAGAACATATCCAAGTGGACAACCCGGATGTTTTAAAGAAACTGGCCAAGAAGTTGGAGAGACAACAGGTCAGTGTTTGTGTTATTTCTAAAAACCTCTGATTCAGGACGGCCTGCTATGACTTGAGCATGAACAACGTATGTAAATTCACTGTTAACTCCTTAAAACTAGAAAATACAAATAAGAAACAGATACAAATGAACTACTGTCTCTTTTATTATCACTCTTTATCATAGTGGAAATGACTCACATTTAACAGGATTGCCTGGATCTTGGTTCTTTTTATCTACAGTAAATAATATTCTGCATATAGTGCATTGAGACCCCGTCCCCTTTTGGTTTGATGCAAGAATGATTCTTTTAAATTTAACTCAGTAAGTCTGCATCATAGCTGTTTTCAGATAGGAGTTTTCCTCTCATATGAACAACACAGCCACACTAACCACCAGTCCTAACTGCATGACATTTCCGAACATTTCTTTCAGACACCAGAGTTCAATTCTACTGCAAAGTTCAAGGTCTGACTTTCTTAAACGTGTGCCATTTGACATTCGTCTAATTTTGTCTTGTTTGCTAACCTGTAGTTGTTATTGTATTAACGTCACTCATTAAATGGATGCAAACTGACCAGAGGTCGGATGTCCCTAGGATGTTTTGTGCAAGATATTAGTTAGAACTTGTTTTTTGGTTGTTTCTTTTTTGTTGTTTCATCTACAACACCGGTTGCTGTGCAGGTCTTTGATTGTTCATACTGCTCTTCTGCTTGTATTTGGAGAGTATTTACATCACAATAATCTCTAATTAGTTAATAGAATTTGATTGTAGCCTTTTTTCTTGATTTTCACTGTGTATCTCTGATTCTTAACTACAGACTCGTCTATTTAAGAGCATTTACCTCCAGGCTGTGCTGTGGCTGTTGTGTTAATCTCACCATCTCAATTTGAACCCCTGAACTTTTGGACATTGATGGGTTTGGATTTATAATCTGCTTGATTTCAGATCCCACTGCGGTTAGACTACGGCTACAAAGTCAGTCTGTTTTCTCACCTTCACCAGTACAGTCGCAAATCTCCCCTTACACAACAAGTCAGGTAAGTTGTTAAATATACATTTAATATATGAATTATGAATCACTACTGACTCTTTTTGTGTTTCTGCTGCAGCATTCCTTCCACAGTGATTCATCCTGCTATTGTACGACTGGGCCTCCAGTATTCACAGGGAATTGTGGCCGGATCCAACGCTCGCTCTGTAGCCCTGCTGCACGCCTTCAAACAGGTACAGTCCCTCACGCTCTGCAGCCTCCTCCCTGGACAACAAAAAGCACTGATGTCCATTTTTTTACTCCTTTGTTGTCAAGTAAATTAAAAGTGCAAGATGTCGAAAGATATTGTAAAAACATCTTTGTGAAAAAAAGGCAATTTAGTTAGCTTTTGTGCTTCTTTCACAACTGAAATTAAAATAATAGTAATATCAATAATAATAATTGTGGGTTTTTCTTCCTTTTTTTTCAAATCTGTAAAAAACATTTTGTATTTTTTGTGTATGTAAAAATTAAATGTTTGTAGTCGTTCTTCTTTTTGCAAAGAAGGAAATAAAGATATATATATATATATATATAGAAATATGTACATTTATTATTTGGACAGATTGAAAGTGAAGAAAGTTAAATACCTCAACAGCATGAATAACTTGCATATGCATTTTTTGAATCCTCAGGTTATAAGGGACTATACCACACCTCTTAATGAGGAACTATCTAGAGACCTGGTCAACAAACTGAAACCTTATATCAGGTACAAACATTTTCAAGTTTTTCCTGTTATACATATCATTTTAGAACTAATGTCTCTGCCTGTTAAAAAATAAAAAATAACTCTTGTATTCTTTTTCTTGCAGTTTTTTAAATCAGTGTCGCCCTCTGTCAGCCAGCATGGGTAACGCAATCAAGTACATCAAAAAGGAAATCTCCAATATTCCTAGTCAGTGCAAAGAAGAAGAGGTTATTGTCACATTTGTTTTTGGCCAGAGATCCTAAATGTAACATATTCCATAGTTGTGTTAGAGATCTTCAATGTACCTCTCATCCTCTGTTCCACACTTTCTCACTTCAGGCAAAGTGCAAACTGCTGAAGTGCATCGACTGCTACATTAATGAAAAGATCGTTCTTGCTGCTAAAGCTATTGCTAAGTATTCCATAGAGAAGATCAGTGATGGAGACGTCATCCTGGTTTATGGATGGTAAGTTATTTTAAGTTTGTCTTCCAGGAATAAAAAAAAACATGTTTTGTCATTTTCTAACTGGTCATGTGTTTAGATTTAGTTTTTAAGCACGTGGGGCCTTTATTTACTGCTTAAATGTGTTTCATGATGAAACAAAGTGTTTTTTGTCACTCCTCCCTATCTCCCACATTCTCATGTAACATTACCCCACCTAATTTTAACCTCTACTCAGCTCATCACTGGTTAACCACATCCTGTACGAGGCCTTCGAGAAGAACATCAAGTTCCGTGTGATTGTGGTGGACAGCAGGCCTCGGCTGGAGGGCAGGGAGGCCCTGAGGCGCCTGGTCCAGAAAGGCATCCGCTGCACCTACGTCCTTATCTCGGCCGTCTCGTACATCCTTCCAGAGGTGATTGCTAAATGAAATCGAAATGAGGAAGTCATTAATATGCTTTTATTTAAGCTCTATTTAAGCTTCTTCATTCTCTTCTAGGTATCAAAGGTGTTCCTCGGTGCTCACGCTCTGCTGGCCAACGGCTACGTCATGTCCCGCGTGGGAACATCACAGATAGCTCTGGTGGCCAAAGCCTTTAATGTGCCTGTGCTGGTGTGTTGTGAGACCTACAAGTTTTGTGAGAGGGTGCAGACGGATTCCTTCGTGTCCAATGAGCTCGGTATGGAAAACATTCTGAAATGTATAAGATTTGTTGAATTGTTCCATATGTAATAAATTCAGACATGAACTCTGGACAATGTAAACACAATGGGGTTCAGGCTTTTTCACACATGAACAACACTGAGGGAGATTCTGTGGTTGGACGCATTCACAAGAACACAGCTTGCAGGCGAAAGGTGGTGCATCATGCAGAGGCAGGATGTAACGTATAAATTCTGCTGTGGAGATCACATCTTGTTGTTTACACAACATGCTGCTCGAATCGAGGTGTCAGCTCTTCTTCAAAATATCCAGAGATATTTGGTCTCTTTTTGTTTGTTTTCAGTTTTGCGTCCGTCTCGTGTTAAAAACGTCATCAATGTCCCCACTCACCTGCTGGAGTTTTTATTGAGGGCTAGCAGGAGAAAGTCCAGAGACTTTCCGCAGCAACTGACTCGGACATTTGCATTCTCACATATCGCACCTCTGATAATCTACACAAAAGTCATCAGTGCATGTGTGAAAGCAGCTCAAGTTGTTTCTTTGCAGGGATTTTTCTTCTCTTCTGTTGACATGATGCTCAGTGTAATTGCTCATAAAAATTCCAGACATTAGATGTGACTGTCACTACTTCATCATCATCATTACTATCATCATCATCATCTGTCCTTTCCAGATGACCCAGACGACCTCATCGTGACCCGTAAAGGAAAGACTGAGCTGGAGGACTGGCAGCAAGTGGACTCTCTCGGCCTGCTCAACCTGGTGTATGACGTGACGCCGCCTGACTTTGTGGACCTGGTCATCACAGAGCTGGGAATGATCCCTTGCACCTCGGTCCCTGTGGTGCTGCGAGTCAAAAACGTGGACCAGTGATCCACCTCGGGTCTCACGTCAGTCTGAGCAAAGAGGCTGTTTCCGCTGCATCTGGATCTTGGGGAAATTGTGTGCATGAATGCTTGCACACAACACAACACAAAATATCTTGCAATAAATATATATCTGAAATGGCATACGTTTTTAAACAGTGTCCATGTCTGTTTTTGTGGTGGAATAATTGAGATGGGATGAGAAGGCTAGTTGTATCTTTTTTTAATCCATGGAAGGCGATGTTTTAATAGACCCATGTTATGAACTGTTTCTTTACAACAGAACCTTTAATTGCCAGTTTTTAGAGCAGAACAATTCCACTGAGGTCCACAACACGCTCCACTTGTCAACCACAGCGCTCTGTTTTAAACTTGCCATAAATGGTTCTTTAATTACAGCCGGAGCTGCAGAATCTCAGAGGAGTTATATGGCTCCCATAAACTCTTCAGACGAGCTTTTAATGACTTGATCAATTGTATAGAGTAAGAGCGAGAGAGGGTGAGACATAAACCAGGTTTCAAACATTTAGGTTATCTTGACCTGGCCTCATATTTATTAACTACATTTATTGTTCATCACGTTTGCCAGTGAGTTCACTGTAAATCTCTATATGAGTGTATAAAAGTTTTAACATAGAATCCCTTTTATATATACTTATGTAAATAGAGGTAGCTCAAGAAAAGAAAGCACTGTTCTGTTTTTTAAAATCTTTATTAGAACCCTGAAAATCATTGAAACTACTTGTTCACATCGAGACATTGAACAAAGGATTCAGCCACAAGGACACAGTTTAGCTGGAGTGTAGCTCGACAACAGGTACACAACAGTTTCAGTCTTGATTCACTCTAATACTGAAAAACTCAAAGCTCAACCAAGCTTGAGGTTTTGTGATGAATCATAATGTGAATCTGTTTTTTTTTCCTCTATGAGAAAGAACATGTTCAACATGCAAAAACACAATCATCAATTCCCCTCTATTATGCTTTAAGATATGTGGTTTCATTGTGTAAACACAGTCAGTAATTGTTTGGCACAGTCGACAGTGAGCAACAGTTCAGAATTCAGTATAATACAATCTCTTCATTCGTATCTTGTGTCAGTTAACTTCACTTATAAGTGTTAAAAGTGGTAATTTTGTAAAAAATAAAAACTTTGGGAAAGTCCCTTCTTTAAAGTTGCACTAGTATTTCAGTAGTAAAATAAGTCTAATGTCAGACCTTAAAATTCCCTTAAATAAAACATAGCTAGCCCGGAAAGGATTTCAAATAAAATGTCTCAATGAAACATGGGGTCAATTCAGACTATGTGTCAGCATCTTCCCTTCCAGGGGAGTCAGTTTCAGTTCAGTTGATCAGTGCAGGTAAAAAGATAAGAAGTGGACGGGTGCAGCTCGACGTCTCAGAGCGGTTTGACCTTCCGTCTCTGAGTGACCCACAGCAGGAAGGAGATCACGACTGCAGATGCACCAAGAGGCCCAAACACCTGGAGAGTCGGGAACTCCCCCTATTCACAAATGCACAATTTAAAAAAAAAGTCATAAGACCAAAATGCACCAGTGTTAAACTCAGTGATCAAGAGGATTTTAAAAGATAAAGCTGCTTGAGAAACTGACCTCTCGAAGACACTTGTATCCATGGTAGTCGTCAGCACAGCTGCACTCAAAGAAGCCGGGCCCGTAGGGAGCGCAGAGGGAGTTCTCCGGGCAGTTCATGGCTGGGGATTGTCAGTCATGAGATGAACAGATGTCACATTTTACCAGAATGCTTCCGCAGTTGTAGCCTTTATTTCAATTTTTTTTGTGATGCAATGGATTGTGAGGTGGGAACTTACACAGCTGTCCAGTCTGATTGCACATGTTTCTCTGGCCTTCACAGAGACGATTTCCGTCTTTGAGCTCCACCCTCGACCAGGACGCGTTGCCTGCTGGACAAAGTATGTCTCCTGGCAAAATCCTACGGCGAAACACCGTTTGACAGATGTGTAGAGCTACATTTACTCTCATGTGCAGCTGTCAGATGATTGTTTGGAGCAATATACTTACAAATAATTTAACTCAATAAATCCTTGAAAGGCTGAGTCGCTGAGGTTCACAATGGGATTAAGTGAGAGGTCTCTGCGAAACAAAAGTTTAGAAAGTAAAATATGTTTGTAAAGGCAAAGACAAATGATTTCATTTTCATTTTAAATCAAAAAATGTATTAGAATGTGTTGGGCAAATTTATTTTAGCTCGATTTATCTCTATCTCTGAAGAGTGTGGAAAAAAGTATTTTTCAGTAGGGAAGACAAACAGCTGGAAATAGAAAGTTTACTAAATATCTGCTGCTGAAGAATCTTCTTATCAGCACTGAGATTATTCTGAGGAATCACCCACACACATCTAATACATTTTCCTTCAGGGCGATAATCTACAAGTTTTCGTGTCACAGGCTAATACAGTGCTGATTAACCCTAAAATAACTGGCAGAGTTGCTGAGGAAGTATCAGCTGAGGAAGGGCGTTTTCTTGTGTGTGAAATTGTCTTGACTCTACATACATGATTATCGCTGTCGAAGCCTTGTGCAGATCCTCTACGTGAGTGAGTGAACAGTTGGACAGATCCAACCTGAAACAAACACAAAACAACGTGTTCAAACACGAGCAGAACTAGTGAAGATCTGACTTTAGTTGCTTCAGTACAAAAGTTCCAGAGGCCTGTGTTACAACAAGAGTCAAACAAGGTCAAAGGCTACAGCACTGGCACAGTGAGGACGCCTGTTGAAACACAAATGAAAGACGAAGCAGTAAAGAGCCGCTCCCACAAACCTTTGTCTAAAGGAAATCAAGGTTGGACTCATAATGACGATCAATCTCACCATGTGCAAACTCAACAATGAAAAGGCAAAACAAGCCTTGGCTGCCAAATGAAGCCACACTCTTGTGTTTATGTTGATGGTGATAGTTAATAATTTACTAAAAACTTAAAGCGACACAACCTAGTTATCATAAAAACAAAGATAAAACATAGAAAGATTAAAAATACATTAAAAACTATTCATAAATGCTGAAATAAAGATATTTTTAAAAATCAAGATCATTTTCTTGCTTACTTTCTCCTATTGGGTTAGTTAATACAAATAATTGGTTTATTAACCTCCCGTCTTGTAATTTATTCATTTATATATATATATATATATATTCATTTACAGATTTATGCTCGTATTCTGTACAGTATTTATTCACCTGTACCATATCAACTTCTTATTCACAGGCCTCGTACAACTTGGCACAATCACACGTGATGCTTATATTTCCTATGGACTGTGAAGGCAGCGCTAAAGACCTACCCGATGATGCGTTCAAGGCCGGTTGTGTTGTCAGGTCTCAGGCAGCAGCGGCCGTGTGTCAGTCCGGTGGACACGGAGCAGAACTCCCCCACCGAAGTGTCGTTGAGCACAGAGCCGCTGCACAGACTGCATACCTGGGGTGGTAGAACACGACAGAGCAAAAAAACAAAGACCGTAAACAACAACATGCACAGTCATCCAGCAGCTGCACGGCAGATCGACACGTTGTTTGTCTGAACCCAGGGTCTGGTTTCTTCTCAGGCCGCAGCTCATGGGTCTCACCTGCAGCTCAGTCCGCTCGCACCCCGCGAACAGACACCAAGTCAAGACCAGTGTGAGCACCGCAGGTTGCAGCTGGATGCGCCCAGCTTTCATTTTCAGCGACTGGAGTCATATGATCCCAGTGTGGCGGACACGTGACAGGAAGCTGCTCCGGCGCATAGTCCACAACAAGTCCACAACAAGTCCACTTCTTATTCTGCTCTGTTGCACAAAAATACTCACTTGATTTGATTTAATGTCCATACGATCAGTTCAAAATTCTAGTGTATGTATTTACACATATGTGTTAATAATACAGCTCAATTAGACAATTGGTGCAAAATGCATATTTAATAAATTGTATGATATAATGTGTTTATATATATATATAACATACATATGTATCAATTTCCTCCTCCTGGACACATGGAGGAAGCATCTTAGATGAGAAATGCTGAAATACTACACGCGTATGTTATGTTAATGAAATAACCTAATTTGACTTGTGGGATTTATTGCACAATATATATTGTTGAATAAAGATTGTGTATTTTTGTATATATATATTGTATCAAGTTCATCATTCTAATTTAGGCATCGTTGTTATTGTGTGTATATTCAATTAAATTCAATGCTGCTTATACATATTTTGTATTTGTTTATTTCAATTTCTGACTAAATTTACACGCAATGAATTTTGAGTGCGCTTTAACTGTAACTTTGGGTTGTACCAAATGAAAGGGGGGACTCGGAGTTAAAGGATTTGACGATCTTCAAAATAAAAAGTAAATAATAATCACGACACATTCAAATAGTTGCCTTAGACTTTTATATCTTCATTTGTAAAATGTGGCATACATTCTACCAGTGCTCTCTTAGTTGTATGACCCGTGAACCCTGTGCCCCCCCCCCCCCGGCTGTGGACGGGATGGCTCGGCGCAGAGGGATCGTTGCAGTGGACCGTCACATTCAGAGAATCACAGGAGGACGTGACGCCGCGGCTCCTTCTGCTGCTCCCACCCCCCCTGCTCCTCACACTGTGCCCCGGCTCTCAGCCTGTGTCGCCTCGGGCTATTTCTTCAGCTCCTGCGGGAGAACGAGGAAAAAGACCAGAAAGAAAATCCACAACAAGTGCAGCTGCCCCCCCCTCTCATGTGCGGAAAGGTTTCTCCAGGCAGCGGCTCTGCGACGGTGTGTGAGTGAGAGAGAGAGAGAGAGAGAGAGGGGGAGAGAGAGAGAGAGAGAGAGTCCTGCAGGAGGAACCAGCTGCAGCTTTTCTCCTCAACTTCCGCTAATGACCTGAATCAACGGAGGGTTTTCACACTGAATGTGTTGTTGAACTTGTCACCAGCCACTTTGAACTGTGTCTGAGCGGCAGGTCTGAAGGTGTAATTACTTCACACTTTGCAACATGGCTGCTGCTGCTGCTGCTGCGGGAGACACCGTGAGAAAAGTTTAACACCGACGTGGGAGAAGTTGGACGCGAGCTGCTGCATGAGTTGACGCCCGGAGAAGGAAGCGGTCTCCCGGAGCGTGACACCGCCGTCCTCGGGACTCTGTAGCCGGGTGGAGGAGCAGAGTGAGAGCCGCCGCCGCCGCCGCCTCCTGTGTCCCCGCCGACAGACAGGCGGTCACTGCAGTGGACTTCGTGGTGAAACTGGTTCCTCTTCTTCTCCATCGTTGAGCTGCTGACTCTCCACAGGAGCTGCAAAACAACATGCATTTTTCCATACCTGAAACAGAGGTTCGTTCTGGAGAGAATGGATCGACATATGTGGTGAGCAGGTTTTTTAAAATTTTCAATTTAACTTCATTTCAATGCAGCAAACATCTAACAGAAGCGTGTGTGACATTGAACGCAACGTGAGCACAAGAATGTGTTTACATCTGTCTGTGTAAATCTATATCTGCACCAACACAAACCAATACAAAAAGAGCTGCACTCTCTAAATGCTGTTATATCTAATGTGTTTCATAAGGAAAGAACAATCTCGTAAGTCAGTCAACTTGCTTCAGGGAGTGTTAACATAAGGTACTCATAAAGTTGAGTAATAGTTTATATTTCTATGTTTTTCCCCATGCCTCCATTATGATTTAATATTTAATGTGACATTGCCTTAACATTGTAGATATGATCCTGTGGTACATGTCAGACAAGAGCAGAACTGACATGCCGTCAACCTTATTACATACATTTTTGTCTAATAATGTAGATGTAAGTCGTGTGTATATACATGTAGATGTCTGAAATTGGCTCAAATTTTCAACCTTTCAAACTTTTTACTTGACATTGAATTTTGTCAAGCACCTCGGACCCCGTGTTATACACAGTATGTGCAGAAACATATCATCTTTATTTTTCTGACATCAGTTTTTGTCTAGCATAGATTTGGCCCCTGTGGTACATCCACGGATGTGTCAGAAGTTGGTACAAAACTGGCATTTCATTGACTGTGAGTGTGGTCCAGTCTCTGAAGCCTCACCTTTGGCACAACAGAGTCCCCTTTGTTTTTAAGGTTTGAGTCAACATTGCACGTTTACCTGATATTGCAATCCTACCAAAAAACCGCCAACTTTGCCAAGCACTGGACTCCCACAGCTGAGCTACTGTGTGTTTTCATTCCTTCCTTCTTTTCTCCTACTGCTTGTGTTTAACATGTTTTTTTACACTTTTTCCAAAATACGCTGAATTGCAATTAAATTGTGTTGGCATGATGCAACACGTTGTGTTGCCTTGACACAGTGGCTGCCGTTCACAGTGGTGTCGACAGGGGATGATTCATTGGGGTTGGTCAAGGACAGCCAGAGTGAAGCATCGTAGGCATAAACCATTTTATGCTCTGGTGGATGGTTCTCTCATAAAACATCAGTCGCAGACACAGTCAGGAAACTTTGTGCTGACGTGGGGCAAAAGCATCTAATGATTCTAGACAACAGTTAGACAAAAACATTGGCGGAAATGTAACATACCTATAAATGCGACCTATCCGTGAACAAAAATCCTGTTGGCTTGGTAAAGGCTTGAGGTCAGAGATTTCTTTTCACCTTGGTGGGGGATCCTAATATAGACAGAATTAAACTTATGTATCTGATCTAACACTACAGCAACAGACAAACAGACCTAGAATATTAGATGTGTTGGTTTTGTTAATAATGTTTTTGTAGTCTGATGCATTAGAGAAGAACAAAGTTACCCCTGCATTCATCAAATGCAAACAACATGCAAACAACATCTGCTACATCTGGTTTCCATGTGAAATCACACTGGTTTTTCTCAATGACACACACTTGTGAATGAGATTTTTGCATCTTGACTCCATGTGCCTGGTGAAAAAAACTTTGCAATAAAGTTGTTTTAAGGTTTGAATATTTCTTCAGGGTCACTGCTGCACAAACATGTTAAAAGTTCACAATTTAGACAATTTCCCTGGAGAAGTGCTGGACATTTTATGTACAGGAATTTAGGCAGTCTGTTATCAGTTATCTGAAGATTATTATTTCCCCTCTTGTTCTGCATAGACATTTTCTTGCTGCTGGACGTTAATATCAGTGTCCGAACTGAGGATTTCTGGTGTCACCTCTGAACAGTTTCTACCTGGTTGAGCAGTGAGCACATTTGTTTTATCCTGTACTGCAATGGCAACTTTAAAGAGGTGGCTTCTCACCTCTCAGCTGGCAGTCCTGTGACTGTCATTGTGACCTTCCTGTTACCAGCCCACAGGAAGGGACTTTGCTTGATTATAATGCTGAGAGATGTGTTGTGTACCTTGGAACCAGTAGGCCACAGAATCTGCAGAGTTAGCACAGGGCTTTTTAAAATAACAAGCGCTGCAGTTTTTAAATATGGAGCTACTCCTGCATGTGCAAGCACAGATTAATCTTTACTTTTGACTTTTCTTACTTCCTGTTGTCATTCGAGTCCCCCCCATGGTTCTAATGGTATTTACTGTATGATTTGTGGGTGTGTAAAAGAGAGGTAGACTTTGATGGAATTGTACGTGATGGTCACTCATTTACTTTGGGGAGAAGCATGTCAGGAATTCAGTATGAAAAGGTTGTACAAACTCTAGAAGTCATGCTCAACAGCATGTCTTTATGAGCCTAAAACTGGACGTGAGACATTTCTAAATATATTTAATTTTGTCTAGAAAAACCCCAGAGACTCTTATTATTAGTCAGACCTGACACATGCACCTCATGTGAAACGACAGTTGGTGCTGGGCTGCTGGACATGGGCAACAATGGATGCTGCGAGGTGACTCCAAACTACAACTTTATTTGAAAAGATCATGTTTCCATCACAGTCAGATCTATGTTAGGTCCAAAACATAAAGGCATTTAAACAATGTTTTGATTTTAGTTTTATCTTATCTTCCATTTTGATCCTAGTTGGTTCTACATCAAATTGAAAATGGATATTCTTGAAAATGTCCTTGTTTTGTTCTTGTCAGACTTGTACAGTCTCCTGCTGCATTCTTATGTGGCAGATAAAAGCTGGAAAGGGTAACGAAAATTGGATCTGGAAGTTTTTCCAGAGTTCAGGTCTGAAGATGGCCTTCTTGAACTGACATAGATCTGATTAGGATCAAAATGTTTTGGTTTAGGTTAAGCCCTCAAGCAACAAATCATAGATTTTATACAAAGAAAGTTGTTTGACCTGAGATGAACTGATAGCAATTCACAAAAGATTGTTCAAGCAGAAGACAGGAAAACAAAAGACTTTCTGCATACTCATTCTTGCTTCCCGTCTGAAAAGTGCCTACATGCACACTTTCATTTCATTTATTAGCCTTCCTCCAGAAGTTTTTTAGCTTTCTTTTGTCACTGTACAAGTTTTAATTTCTACTTTTGCTGTTTTCCCATTGCTCACTATTGTAGATCAGCAATGTTGTGTGCAACACTTGTGTGTTCAGGACTCAGGAGCCTTCAGAACATCTTGTGTTTTGACAGATGACTTACCATGTTGACTAGAAATAATCATTGGCACAGAAGAGGAAGGAGATTAAAGCACTGGCAGTTAGTGCCCTGACACCCAAACAGGAAATCTCCTCAACAACCATTCATGTCACACTTCCTCTCATCCCTGGCTACATCCTTGTGGACGCTGATATCTCCTAGCAAAAAGTATTATTCAAACAACACAATGTAAGAATTCCACCGGGGCACCCCTCACCCACTCACAGATGGCAGGCCTAATTTACATTTTTGTAATAGATGCAAGTCTCGCTTTCTCTTTTCATCCTCTTCGAATTCACCGACAAAATACTCTTCGGTTTATTCGCTGGTTCTGCCATGATGTCGTCTGGATGGGCAAAAACAGAGAAAGCTTGACGTAATCATGGCATTTGCATCCTGATTGGTTCTTATCAGTCACAACTCAACTACCAGCGGAAAAAACACAATGTTGTTACCAACCACTTAGTAGAGCAGAATAGACAATCTACCCTCTGTTTACACTGGCACGCACGCACATGCCCAATGTACGTGCATGTTAACATGATTTTCAGGATGTGTTGGCATGAATGGGGATTATAACTGTTGCAAAGCTAGAACAATAGAGATTTAGTTTTTAATTTAGCCTGAGAAAACCAAGTTGGCTTTTTCTTGTAGCTAGCTGCTAACTTCACCTCGGGCTGTTGGTGTGATTTATGATGTAAAGCATGTTTGAACACCAAAGCTAATAATTGTAATACCAAGTGTGGTAATGGAAGAAAAGCCATTCTCTTTATTATAAATTTGTCTACCACCAAAATTATTTTTTGAAGCCGTTATTTAAAGGTAAAAAACTGCATTGTGTTGCTTTAACGACAAAATATCCCAGTTTATACTTGATACTTTTCCAGCACATTCATTTAAAAACAAGCTTAGGTATTTTGAAAAGCAAGAAAAAAAAATCATCCATCTTCATATGTTGTGTAAAGATATTTAGGGAGGGATAGCGGCCACTTTTAATCACAACAAACCTGGAGCAGAGCTGAAACATCAGTTCTTGTCAGTAGAATCTGTGCTGGGAAACTTTCTTCGTCATGTTTTTGAACCATTTTCATTAAAAAAACAAAGGCAGTTTTATTATTTACAGTGGCAGGATTGACTGTGGGTTAAACAGACTTGTGGTATGTTGTGAAAAACACTGTGTTCTTTTACAGTTCAGTTGAGTTTTGTGAGCGAGCCTGTATCTGGGTAAACGTACGTGTTTTTTCTCCCCCTCAGGGCACAAGCAAAGTATCACTTAGTTATTCATGGGGCTTAGTGTCATTCCCAACACTTAATGAGACATCAGGCATGAAAAATGGATTTACTTTCTGAGATTGGATCTGAACGTGACTGCAAGCCGATATTTGTATTACGAATTCCAAATGGTGGTTTTCAAGGAGGAGTATCCAGTGATAGCTCCTGTTAAAACAAACACAGCGTGTCTGAGAGAAAGACTCAAAGACTCCCCGTGGGATTTTCTATTATTTGCTTTCTGTTGTTAGCTTCTGCATCAGAAAAGAGGAAGCAGTTTTGATCAGAAAATTTGCAGCAGTGTCTGTTTTCCAGGGTTTAAATGAAGTCATGAAATGGATGGAGATTGTTTTGATGTGTTATGTCAAAGTACAGGACGATCATTTGTTTTCTTTCACAGTTGTGGTTTTACCTCTGCACTGAACTTTGACAGTGACACCCCACTGACTGTAAAATTGATGACATGAGTGTCTCTATTGCCACCTATTGGCTTGCTGCAGTATAGGTCTTAAGTCTCACCTCCTTCGTGTTAGTAGATGGGACATGGATCAAACTGAAAAGTACTTATAATTCATTTTTATAGCTGGTTTCTAACATTTGAGGTAGTTTTTATTACACCGATCCTTATTCAAGTGTTTTTTGTCCTTATGTGTGGTTATAGTTTTTTATGCTAGTGTGTTAATTCTTCTGGTAAGATTTATTTAGGTATTTGATGCTATAAAATGAGGGTGAAGCATCATGATCGACAGCTTAGACTTGCATTTGGTCAAGCATGTGTATAGGCAGGACCTCTCTACCGCAGCTCTTTCTCTCGACTCCCTAATGCGAAAAAGGGCAGTGATCTGGGATATTCTGGTTTCATTTCCTGAATTGTATAAAGTGAAGATGTGCCACCAGATTTTACTCTCAACTATGAAAAGTATTTTATTTTAATGGGTCATGTAGTTGAGAAAAGATATTATTATTTAATATTTATCCATATGCACTTTAAGCATTTTTCTGTGTACATTTTTGACATGTTCATGTCTTTGGCTCCATCCACAGGCAGGTTTTAGATGGTTCAATTCATTATGTCAGACTTTTACAGTCTTTCTCCTCAAATTTTAATTGGTTCCCACTGTTTCACACAGGCCTACAACATCCATGTCAATGGGGTCCTGCACTGTCGGGTACGCTACAGCCAACTTCTTGGCCTCCACGAACAGGTAAGACTCAAGCACTGACAACATATACCCATCAATGTCAGTTTGCTTTAGAATGAAAAGGCAGTGATATCTCATGCGTTGCACATCGAACACTGTTCAAATGCCACATCTACCCAGCATGACCTTTCGCTCGTCTTTGTGTCATGCGGTCGATATGCCAGCCGCCCCGTCACTTTGAATCACAACCACGATGGCTTGAAGTCTTGTGCTGTTTGTTCAAACTATTGCATGTAACCGGGAAGTGTTATTTTGGAGGAGGCTGGAGGGGGTGGGTGACATGGAAGGAATGTTCTTGGCCTTTCAATCTTTTCACCTGCTGGGGAAAAAGGAACTTAATCTGAAAAAGAAATGTTGTTGGACAGCGCTGAGTTGCCTGGACTTAAGTATTTTTTTGCTCTCTGCCTTGGTGAAACATTACACAGAGCTGCAGCTGTTTCTTAAAGCTGTTATTAGGCAATTAGTTGGTTAAGCATCAAGTTTTTTTGGTGTACAGAGGTTGAAAATAAATCATGAGTAATCGTGAGAGTGCTTAATATATCTTTGGCAAGAAATGGCTGAGGTTGAAATGGTGCATGTATTGTTTATAGGCTGATTTAGTTGTTGGATGTGGTTGGACGTCCTGTGAAAACACGCCACAGCAATCAAAATCCTTGAAATGCCCAGTGTCCTGTTTTCACACATTAAAAAATAAGCAAGCAAGCAAGCAAGGGCCAAACTTCACTACATCTCCATCCTCAAGTCTGTGTTACACAGTCTTACAGTTGCCGTTGCCTGGCAACAGGGTGTGAGGAAGACACACTCAAATCTTTAAGCATCAACCCCAAAGGGCTTCCTGTGGCGTACGCATGACCCCAAAACATTCTGGTGATTGCGGCACTCACGCTCTCGAGTTGGATGAGATCATTTGAATGTTGAGAGCCTCTCTCGGCTTCTCTCCCGTTAAGACTTATAACAAGCTGTTTGAGCTCAGACTTATTTCAGATGGAGTAGACTGTAACCTGCGCTCAGTGTCTGCTCTGTAAGCTTATTTGTATGTGTAGCTAGTGCTGCCTCTGGCATACTGAAAATACCAGAGGGCAGTATGTCGAGGTGAAAATCACCTCTTCCTTTAGTACCCACCGTGGCCTGCCTTCGTCAGACCATATGTGCAGGACCTGGGTGTTTTTATTAAGAAGAAAAAATGTGCTTTTGAATTCCTGATGATGAGTGTGATGTACAGCTTTCCCCCGCAGAAAGACGCACGTAAAAAATGAAACATTTGATGTGTGAATGTAAGATTATTAAGTCTTAGTTTAAGTCCTCTGCAGTTCAAAGCTTTCAGCTTTTAGATGATACAAAATAGGAAGAAATGAGTCAGGAAGCTGGAAGACAAAGTAAACTTGGAATGACTAGACATTCAGGGCTCCAGATGTGTGTGTGTCTGTGTTATGCACGGAAACTCCACCAGCTAGTCGTTGAAACAGGGGCTTAAAATAAACCTGTGATTCATCTCAAAAAGCATGAATGTACCTCTTAGGGAAAAAAAAAACCCTTGAGTCTCTAATTCAGGAGACTGCCACTCTGTGCTGAAGTTAATGGGTTTAATCATATAAACCCACAGAGCGTCTTTCACAGACAAACTTTCACATTCAAAAATAATGAATTTACCCACCTGACACTTGCATGTCCTTCAATGCTGTAACCTCTCTGTTTAACCCTAACAGATAAAGAAAGAATATGGCAGCAACGTGGTGCCTGCCTTCCCCCCAAAGAAAATCTTCACACTGACTCCTGCTGAGGTCGAACAGAGACGGGAACAGCTGGAGAAATACATGCAGGCTGGTGAGTGACTCATCCCAGATATGACTTTTCATGCCTTGTACTGCATTTCACTTAATTCCTGGCTGAATTTTAAATTCCGGCTACAACGCGGTTTGTTTGTTTTTTGTCTGCGTTTAAATGAGATACTCTCCCTCTTTGTTTCGCTGTCCACATATCCTTGCAATTTCCTGGAAATGGTTGCTGCTCCACAACAATCATAAGTACGACTTGGCTCTGTTTCTGTGTGGAGTCTAGCCGTACACTGGTGTTTTTCATGCCACATAAAAGCATAAAAGTGTTTCACTCAAGATCTGATGATCTGAGCAAAGAGTCGGCTGGGACACTGAGCCAAAGCCACTAGACAGAGTTATGTTGACACACCAGGTAGAAAAAAAATCCCCACTCAGGTTTTCAAACCTGTTTTTAAAAAGTTTTATGAGTTTTGATCCTCTAGTTTTCTTCCCCCAGTGATGCTTAACTTTTCTCCAACAGATGTCATCAAGGCAAATGTATATTTTTTGTGGCATTGACAACAGCAGTGAAGCATCATTTTTAAAATTTATTTGAACTTTTTATATAAATAAAGGTTTCTTTTCCAAGTCTTGTGTCATGCTCAAGAAGCCAGCTGCAGTTTCATATCCCAGTTGGGGAGGTTTTCAACATATTGTTGAGATTTTGTAAACAGGTCGAGGGTGAGCTTTCTGCATATACACACGAATAAGTGGAACTGGCAGCCACGCAGCGGGTTTGTTTTAATCCTCTCAAGCACTGGCAGTTACAGCAGAACAAGGAAGCGTTGTTCGAGTGCGTATTTGCTCATAGTCTGGGAGCATATGCACACAGGGTGTTCTTGGCCACAAGTTCATTTGGTTACATCATGACTTTTTACATAGTTATGGAAAATGAACAGCCACAAACACAATCTGCTGTGACGCAGATGGCTCGCAGAAAGTTTCAGATTTGGTCAAAGGGTTAGACTAATTTGTAAGAGGACAATAGAGAAAAGGCACAAAGACACACATGCACACACACGGTCAGATTGTAATCATACAGGCGTAACATGCAGATAATTAAACACACATTTCTGCAACTCAAACTTAGATTTACCAAACTGCTCCACTGTTTTGATGTAGGCCAGAAAAAGTTACTGCAGTTTAATTCTGACCTCCCTTCATAAATGCCTCTGCATGTTTAATTAAATTGCCTCGACAAATGTCCTGAAAGGCCGAGCCCATTTCACAGGAAATAAAACCAAACAGCATGAAAAGTGGAAAATTTAGAGAAATTGGGAAATAGCTCTGACAAGGACGTTTTTGTTTACTTTCCGGCTACTGGAAAACTCTTGACTAATTGCAGAGATATCCAAACATAACATATCTCTTTTTAAACTGCTGCTTCGACCGAAATTGTTAACTTTAACCCTTTAGCTTTTTTCCCTAACTTCTCTTGTGTTTTGTTACAGTGCGTCAGGATCCGTTGCTTGGAACCAGTGAGATGTTTAACAGCTTCTTAAGGAAAGCTCAGCAGGTAGGAGATTTTTTCACACCTCACCTGCACTCTACAGTTTTCTGTCTGTCTCCCGGCTTGTGAGGCGGCAGGGTGTGCTCCTTCACCCAAAAGGCTGATGCAGTCACTTCTGCCCAGTTAGTAATTACTTTTGGCACTGTGGTGGAGTGAGGTAGCTGTACATAGCAGCACATAACCTCATCCTGGATTGTGTAATCTCTACGTGTAAATTTTGACCTGTCAGATTGATGTTTTGTTTGCATACAGAAATCGGTGAAAAGATTACGTCAGACATGAAGCTTTAGCCAGATATCGTGATGCAGTTGCTTGGTGTGTGTGGGTGCTGGATCTGTTCAGACCATTCTATCATTAAAGCAGCACGAAAAAATGCAAGTACATTCTCAGCTGCAGAGCGCAAAGCTGTTGTAACACAACTCGCCTGTGAGCAAGTCAATGACTTATCCAGACCAGGTAGCCCACGTTGATTCATCATCATTCAGGCGACCTGCGTTGCCAGGAGGACTGTAAATCCATAACCTTCACGGCCACATTCGTTTGTTTGCAGCCACGTCTCACCCGTTCAGCTTCTCCTTCTCCATTCCCCCTCTTTCATCAGACTGCGTGTTTGTGGCCCTCTCTTCCCCCTCCCCCTGCAGCGCCCTTACAGTATACGCTGTGAGGACAGCAGGTACCATTGGAGATGAGTTACCACCCAGTGTTGTCATTTCATCTGCACCTTTAGTGTCAGGGATGTATTTGGAGACTCAAGGAAGATAAAGGGATTATGTACCAGGTGGTGAGAAACTGCCTGGGGATAGGAGAAACTGGGGTTATCCTGTTAAAGATTTTTTTATTGACAGTTCACACACTACTGCTTTTAAAATATTCATACTTTTATACAGGTCAGTTCATTTTCCTTCATAGTTATTCATTGATTTTGTTGGTTGTTCATGAACACAATCACAAACACAGCAGTAATAATTAACACAGCTCCCTATAATTTCTGTTTGAGCTGACAGCAGTTAACTTAATGGATGGGACTTCTAAAGCTGCATTTATTAGTATATGTTAATCAGCTGATTGCCAGAAAATGAATTCGCAACAAGTTGTAATACAAATTGATGAATGGTTTTTAGGTGAGGGGAAAATAAGCCGAAATTCTCTGGTTGCAGCTTCTCTAATGTGAATATTTGCTAGTTTTCTTATTTTTCTATGAAGCTAAACTGAATATCTGGGTTTAGACTGTGAGCCAGTGGGAACAAGACATCACCTTTGGCTTCTGGGAAAGTGGAATACCACCTTTTTGACATCAAAGACTATAAATAAATAAAGTCACAAGTGTCTGTGGCCCTGCAGGACCGAGGCGCCAAGTGTTTGTTTTTATGACTCTTCCATCTGACTTAAATCTTGAAGTACTTGTGTTCCCAAAATAGAATTGATTGTTTTACACTTGATACCACAGTTTCCAGTACTGACCCTTAAAATTATGCTGCGGCATTCATTTCCTTTTTAGTGGCAAAAGTTAATCAAACTCTAATTTTAATCTGGATTAAATAAATACTTCAAGAGAAGTGTAACTAGTTAATTGAACCTCGTATGGTTTGTTTTTTATCTCCACTGGAAAGCGTCTCACTGACAAGCCTGTATTTTTCTGCCCTGTGACTTGTGTGTGGATTTAGTTGTTGACTGACTGGAATGAAAACATGAATCTTACCAATCAAGCTGAGGGAAGCTGTTATATTTTGTCTCCTTCCCACAGGAGACGCAGCAGATTCCCACAGAAGATGTTGCTCTGGACATCTGCCTCTCCAATGGTCAGAAGGTCACTGTCAACATTCTGACCTCAGATCAGACGGAGGATGTCCTGGATGTAAGTGTCGGAGTGTTTTCTGTTAAAGAGCACGTGAAGCCACCATTTTCACCCAGTTCACAACTTTGTAAACTAAAAAAACATGATTAAGATACAGCTGAAGGTGCTGTGATTAAAAGTACACTCACAACTTAATGTGAGGAATATTGAGTATAAGTACATACATGCTCTTTATTAGATGCAAATTGTATGATTTAATTCTAATAAATCTGCAAGAAGTCCATAAGTTAAACCATCATCTGAGGCCGTACAGGTATTTTTCTGTGTTATCAATTCTTACAGGTTTTGTGTCTGTTTAACTAGAAGCTTTTGATCTCAGCTTTTTATAACGTTGTTGACACACAGTGAAGTTCCTTCAGGCAACCAATTTCACAGTTAACTCCTCTGTAAGCTCTGTAGACAATATCAAATCACACAGAGTCACATTCGTTTATATAGAATGCCTTCAGCAAAGCACTCCTTAAAGGACTCTATAAAGTCGGAGCGTCTACAGTCTATCTAATAAAAAACACAAGATCATAGTATACAAACAAAATAACGTGACTAGCCAATAAAGTGATATGTACAGTATGTGTATTTTTTATAGTGACCCAGACATTAAGTATATCCAACCTCACCTTTGCTCTTCGTTCACCAGTGTGTGTGTCACTGCGCTAAGATTTGCAGCAGTTGTCATAATGAAAAAAATCTAAAATAGATTTAGTTTTCTCTACTGTTGTAGTTATAGAATACTCTATCACTGCATGCAAGAATGCAACACTGTTAAAGGAGACATATGCTCATATTACAGTTCATAATTGGGTTATTACTTGAAAATATTTACATGCTCTAATGTCCAGAAAACATCTCTTTCCTCATACTGTCCATTGCTGCAGCTCCTCTTTTTAGCCTCTGTCTGAAACGTTTGGTTTTGGTAGGAGATATTGTCCTCCGCTCTAGCGTTACCTGGCAGTGTGACAGAATAGCCGCTAGGGGTGTATTATGCAAATGTGGATCTTCTATTCAGGAGCATTTTTTGAGGATGTTTGACTTTTTAACTTTGCAGAACTTTAAATTCACAAAAAACTGTATACGCCTTAGATTAAAGAAACTGGAAAGACATAATATTTTTGGTTTAAAAACTGGCCGAAGGAGCAGCTGTTGCCGGTCCAGCCAAAAACTTAAATGAAGGGATTCATTCATTGAATGCAATTGTGACAGTGAACGCTCATTCACTCTCACTCACACTCTCTCTCTCTCTCTCTCTCTCTGATCTTTCTGCAGGCTGTTGCGACAAAGCTCGACCTTCCAGACGATCTTGTTGGTTATTTCAGTCTCTTCCTCATTCGTGAGGGTGTGGATGGAGGTTTAACATGTGAGTTTCCACATCGAACCTTATATCTTATAATCAGAGGAGTAGAAAAGATGAAAAACATTTCACTTTACTATTATATTTTAAAACTTGACTTTCGTTGCGAGCATATTTAAGTGATTTTTCCCATTAGAGAGATCCATAAAGTGGATCCATAATTCATTACTGCAGATATTTCAAATCCACTTTTAATGGATTTAAAGAGCTGCAGCTGATGTTGTTTATTGAAGCAGAACAAATGTGCAGTTCACTCTGCTCTTTGATAAAATGATGTCAATGTGAACTATTGTATCAGGTCAGTCAAGGACTGTTCTCAGAGGACACTGTCCTGAGAGGACAAATTACTTTCACAAACAAGGAAAGAGAAGAAAATAGGATTTGGGATTAAAAGCTAAAACATTTGTTAAGCTTCACTTAAGAATAACTTTGTGGTAAACCAAAGAGAATTATGTGCTGCAATGTCATGCTCCTGATTTTAGTTTTCTTTGGCTCTAAATCTTTGTCGACAGTTGAGCAGCTCACTTCATGTGTCTCGCTGTGTGGAGATAAACTCACATTTAATTAAAAACAATGATCTCCATGAAAAAGCTGTATCTCTGGCTAGAACAGAATCATTCACTCATTAGGTGTTTGGAAGCTGAGCGAGAGCCAGGATCTATGTGTTTGTTGACATACAAAAAATGTGTGCAGCTTCAGCTTTCTGTAAACGTATGTATAGCACATGCCAATCATATTCATCTTAGTGGGTCTGTTACTATTTGACTTTATTCTGCTCATCTGTGTTTGATTTTGATGGGGCACGAAAACCATAGAAATATGTTGCAAAGATGTTGCGATCTCACTTAAACTGGTATTTAACCCTTTAGTTTTTCAGGGTGTATTATTTGATTATAGGCAGTTCTACTAATGAGTGAGCTGGTATTGAATTTACTAAACATTTGCTGTTTCTGTATATTTTTAAATGTAGTATATCACAATTTATAGTGTGCCAATACAACACTGTAAAATGATGTATACCATGTCAGTGGCTGGTGTCATATCACTCACTAAAGCTTCTCTGAGCGGAGCTCCAGACAATCAGGCACCAGCAATAGTCTAGTTAGTTACACACAAACAGTACACACTGTATAATCACAGTTCACAAGTGCTGCTGATGGTTGTTATTCAACCGATCGGACCTTTATCTGTTTTGTTATTGTTGTTAAACCACAAGATGTTAAGTTTCTATCCTGTCCAAACATTATTTCCCATGATCCCTCACTCAATAGGTCTTCCATACTTTGAATGTGCGTGATAACACGACATTAAAAGTTCGTTTGTTTCCACCCTCGTGTGTGTGTCACACGTCGTACCACAGGCAACAGCAACAGCTTTCCACATGCTTCAGTTTACGTTTTTTCCATTCCATCACAGCCCTGTCGGGTCAAATTCCCCCCTCAGTCTCAAAGGCACCGTTCTCTCGTCTCCCACCTGCCAAACACCCAAACACCAGCCAGGCTTAAAATGCTGCCAGGTGAACTTGGAAGATTCTGCAAATATTGCAGGCATGTTGTATATTCCTGGCACAGTTGAAATCTGACAATCTGAGTGGTAAGCAAGACACGGCTGTGTGTTAAACTATGACTCGTCTAGTGGAATAAATGCGGTGCGGCAGGCTGCAGATCAAACACAACTGGGCGGTGGGAGTATTGACATAACGGGTTTGCTAGAAGAACTCAATTCCTCGCTGACGTGCAGCAAGTTTCCCAGAAGTCTTTGTCTAAATCAATATATGCTGTAAAATATGCAAAGACATGTCAAGAAGACCAGTATGTGGTTTGAAATAGCGGCGTCTTTTTTGTGTTTGCAGTTTCCCACTGACAATTTAGTTCACAGATAAATGGTTCACAACATTTTAAACAGCTGTTCCTGCTTCTAGTACACAGCATCGTGTATGTTCTAAATTACTTCTCGTAATTTAGAAAAAAGTAATTTTACAAGAATAGAGAAAAATGTTTTAGGAAATGAGCAGCAAGGAGAACCTTTGCTTTCTGGAGTTCCACTCTTTCTGGATCCAAAATTTTGAACCAATCTCATATTTTCTTGAGAAACTACGATACCTCTTTGAAAACCATGCGGATGTAACGAGGATAACATCCCTGTCGACCACTACCAAAGTTCAGATACTCATATATCATATCGAGATCATATTATGATAAAGTGATGCTGATGTGCTAAAATAGTTTATTCTCAACTTTATTCTCATAATATCATGATTTTATTTAATGACCCTAATACTCTGTCATAATCTCTACCCATGAAGAAAATGTGAATTTACTTCTATAAAGCTGATAACAAACCAAAGAGCTCTCCAGTCACCGGATGTGTAGTGTTGTGCACGTGTCCTGAAACCCAGCAGCAAAATGCACCTGAGATCTCCTCAGGGAACAGGCTGCAATGAAACAGCTGCAGATTATGGAGACACACATGCACACACACACACACACATACAAAAGTTTTAGCCTGTTGGGATCTGTCCAGATGGAGTCCTCCCTCCCTTGCTGGCATCATTATCCAAATGTCCTTGGGACTAACTTTCTCTCTCTCTCTCTCTTTTTGTATCTGTCCCTCTCAGTTGTGCGGAAGCTGCAGGAGTTTGAGCTGCCTTATGTATCCATCACCAGCTTGCGGAGCTCTGAATTTCACATACTCCTACGGAAAAGGTACTCACCGCCTGCCCGTAACATGACTTTGAATTTCACTGTGTACTTTCCCCTCCACAATCCACTGTGTAATTATGGCTGTGATTCATTTGCGTATTCGCGTGTTATTTATCTAATCCTTAAATGAAGCTGGGTCAGAGATTTCTGTTTTCAGTAAGCAGTACATACAGTACTCCTCTTGTACGTGTGTGATTTGAGGCTCTCGGTTTTCTCGTTTCATTCTGGGTGTGATCCGTTTCATTCCTTATCTGCAGTGAAGCACTTGTTCTTAATGTATCAGAACAGCACTTTGCCTAAATAACAGGCTTCTTATCCAGCGTCACCATCTTCTACAAAGTGGCAGTTCATTTGGAAGAAACTCCTGAGTCATTTGTTTTGTCTTTTTTTTTTGTCAAGGTCAGTAGTTTTGACCAGACAGATGGTGCATCGGACAGTCAGGGATTAGACAAGGACATCATTTTGACAGCGCTGCAGCATGGATCTGTAAAATGTAGTTTTAGAAAACATTAGTATTCTCTCTTCTGCTTGAATGTGCTCATTTAGCAATTTTCAGTTAAATGATATAAAGTTATAATAGCTGCAACAAATTCTGACTGTTGCCAGAGGATTAATTACCCAGTCAGCAAACTGAGCAGTATCTCAAAATTAAAAAGAATTATATTGGGTCGCGGCCGCATTTGAAGGCTTCATGCATCAGCTGCAGGTTCGGTTCTCCTCGGCCCTTTGCTTCATATATTTTCCCATTTTCTCCTCATACCTATTTTCTGTCCTGGAAATAAATACATCTTTGAAAGATTGTAGTTACATTTATTGCAATAGAAGTCATTTATATAGATTATATATATTAGATGGACTCTGATTGAACTGTTGTCAGTTTAGTCATAAGACTAGTTGGGAAATTAAATAAAAAATCTTTTTGTGGTTGTGGAGTTGGAGAAAATCGACTTTATGAGACCTCTGCTGCCTGGAGGAGAGAGGAGAGGCTCATTGCTACATTAGCTGCCTGAGTATAAGACACCCGAAACTCAAACTGAGCTGTTCCTGATCAACATTATTAGTATTGTAATGAAGTGAAAAAAGATAATCTCCAACAACAAAAATTAGAAAAATTATCACAGACCTCACATTTCTTTAAAAAAGTCTATAGTGACTCAAACAGGTTGATGATTTATTCACAGTAGAGGGAGGTGGTTGAACATTGTTCAGAACTATATCAGTTGTTTTTAACAAACCACACTGCATGTACCACAACATGTTTCTACACGTCTGTATTAAACAGTTATCGACTTCACTGATCCTCCAGCAGCAGAGCTCACATGATGTATTTGAACAATATTTCCTTTGGTTTGACATTTAAATCCTCTGTTTCTGGTTCCGTTGGTGTTTATTTTATTTGGTGTGAGAACAGTTTAAAAGTGTAGCTCTGTTCCTTAATGAAGTGAAGGGGTTAAGGGCTGTTTGTTTGCAGAGAAATGAGCTTCTACCATCGTGATATGAAAAAAACTTTTGGGTTGGGATCAAATTTATTTTGATGGGCCAGCCCAACAAATTCTGTGCCTGGAAAACACTGATGCAACTTCTCCCTCCAGACTGAATTTAGCAACTGCTCCCTTCTTCAAATGTTTTTTTTCTTCTTCTTCCTTGTATGTCTTTTCTCTCGTCACCCTGCCCCCTGCTGACTGACGTACACAGGATGTTTACTTTCTTTTTGCCTCAAGGAAAAGTCTTAGTCCTCCTGACCTAGTTTTCACTGTGGAGTGGAGTGTGGAGCGGTGAGGGAAGAATGAATGTAAAACTAACAAGTGGAGGTGGAGGAGGGAAAAACAGACCCCCAGTGTATGAGATCCTGGGAGGCTTGGGCTAAACGTGCATGATAAAAATGGAGGAAATGCTGATGTTGATTTAATGTTTTTACCGGACAGACGTTTCCAAAGCATTCATGAAAACAGGAGGACATTTCAAATATGTGTGTGCATAGACTAGACTTGCTACTAAAGCTGCAAAAACACACAGATAAACACCACTCTTATTCCCTTCCTTCCCCCCTCCTGTCACTCTCACTCTGTCCTCTATTCCCTTGTTCCCGGCTTTGAATTTCTGATGTGGCGTGGCAGCATGCTTCGTGTCACTGCGTCTACATCGGCCAACAACACCCCCGTGTCAGGCAATTACAGCATGTTAAATTTTACACGTGTACTGTTAGTGTTGAATGAAAAATGGATTAAATAAATTCAGTGCTGTGTTAACTCAGACGGTAATAATCCCAACGTGAGGTATGAAACCAGATTCTGGATCACTCAGAAGTGACGTCTCTTTAATTATATTTAATTACAAATGGGATATCTCCTAGTTTCACATGTGGTCCCAATCATGATCTCTCTCCTTAAAACTTTGGATAAAAAATCGTTTTTTATTTCCATTCTCTTTTTTTAAATCACGCTCGGCTCCTTGGTCTGCCCTTACAGCACCCACACATCAGCAAACTACACCATCAGCAACTGTGCTTCAGCCTCTCTACAAGAAGACGTAACCCATGGGACGAATACTTGCCCGGTTATATCACTGATTCTGAGCTGAGGAATTTTGTCTGTTAGATAGATATGAGCAAGAGTCAGATCAGGTTTATGTTTGACATTAATACCTCGGCCAAAGGAGGTTATTCTTTCACCCCTGTCCCCTGTATGTTTGTGTGTTTGAGGGTTCTGTGCAGTTTTTGAGCTGTTCCTAGGACTGGGATCTGCTGGAGCCACAGGGTCACAGCCTCTAATGCTCCTACTACCACAGGGATCACATTGCATTTATATATATATATATATATATATATATATATATATATATATATATATATATATATATATATATATATATGTATATATATGTATAAAACTGACAGTCAATGCCTTTTCTTTCTACAGCTATTGGGACATGGCATACGATGGTGATGTGATGGACAACAGAGTCGGCCTGAATTTGTTATACGCCCAGGTAAGATTTTAATACAACAAACCAGACATTTGTTTGTTTTCATTTATACCTCATTATCTTTTTTTAATTTGAAATCTTCATTAAGTGTGAAATCAAACACATTTTGTGTTTTTTATCGAGCTTGCACAACAAAAACCAAATCAGATAACTGCTACACCTCTCAATTGTTTCCAAATGTTTTATTCCATCCGGGGAGCCCCTCCGTTATCTGATGGTGGCGTCTGCTTGTTTTGACTTTGCAACACCTTAAGTCCTGAGCCTCTGTGGCCCTTAGTGCTGCCACAGCCGAGATCTGTTGTATTAAACATTTTTGGAGTTTGATTAAAATCTGGAACTGCTGAGTGTTGCCTCTGTTTAGCAGAGGGGGCGTTTTAGAATCAAGGGAAAATAAAGTGTTTCAAGCGTGTGCGTTTGTGTGTTTCTGTGTAATTATTTGCTGACCTGCGCCATTTACATGAAATGCCAAGGGTGTGATTACTCCCACATGTCCCCACAGAAAAACAAAAACCTGCTTTATCTTGTTCATCTATGCAAAACAACAAAACTATTCGTTTTTTTGCTTCACCAGACAGTGTCTGACATTGAGCGAGGCTGGATACTCGTCAACAAAGACCAGCACAGGCAGCTCAAATCACTGCAGGAGAAAGGATCCAAGAAAGAGGTAAGAAAGGGTCTCTGCTCGTCTACTCTGCCCCCACAGCATCTAACTTGATTTCAGCTGATGCTCAGAAATCGTCTTTGTCTGAGAATAAATCCGTAGACCACAGAGAATACAGCCTCTAGTGCATTTTGTTCTGCAATTAGCCTACTTTTTCCCATGATATGAATTTTTAATCACATCAATCCAGTGGAGATTTCAAACTTTATTCTCCAGGGATTAGACAGAGAGATTTTTTTTTTTTTGGCAGAGTCAGTCACTTAAAAATGGTTTTGCTGCGCTTTCTTTCTAGTTCATCCATCTAGGTCAGACGCTCAAATATTATGGCTACATCAAGTTTGACCCGTGCATCACCGACTTCCCCGAGAAGGGCTGCCAAGTCATCGTCAGCGCCGGCAACAACGAGCTCAACTTCCATGTCAAGCTGCCCAACGAGCAGATGAAGGAAGGGAGCTTCAAGGTCACGCGCATGAGGTGTTGGCGAGTCACGTCTTCTGTAAGTGGAGTTGTGTGTGTGGCCGAATGAGGATAATAGACTGCATATAAAGATGGATGACATGACAGCTCATTGAATTTGTGGGCGTTTGTGTGCGTCTTATTTTTACATCTAGGGACGTGTAACAGCGATTTATTTATTTATTTATTTTCCTCCTACTTATAATGGCAAGACGCCACAGTGATGTCAAAAATGAAAAATCAGAAAGGGAAACTGGTAATAATAATTTGGTAAGACACTTTTTTTAGCACCTGATAAATTCGGTGTAGAAGAAGTATGACTTGGCCGTGCGGATGCATCGACGGGACCTTGATACAGTGGCTCCACACCAGCATCACTAAAGAACAAATTCTGGCTCCAAATGTCGTCAAACACGTAAGATGGCTGTGATCGTATCCAGGGTGTTTTAGCTTAATTCTTTTACAACAGGAGAAAGTTGAGACGTGTCATCCATCTTTATATAAACTCTGATGATGATGATGATGATGAGTGCATTCACCTTCAGGAATCTGGTTTTTATCTCTGAAGCCCACGAAACAATCAGACTGAAATCCCTCCACTTTATTATGAGACAGTGACTTGGCAGAGCACAGATGCACCAGACTTGGCTGGAGCCCGTCTCAAAGTAACAGGGGTTCATGTGCTTCCAAATCTGCCTGTTTACAAACCTCCTCTCACCACTGCACCACATACAAATGTCTTTAGCCCTGCCAAGCATTCGTTTTACTCCTACTGCCTACTAAAAGTGCTGATCCCCACACCATCTCTTTGTATCAGTCCAATTACCCAAAACACGCTGCTCACACAAGGATAGCGCTTTATCGATCCTGCAGCGTTCTGTGTTTGAACTGATGATTGTCCTTTGGCGAGGAAGGAACCTGCTGGCATGCAGTCCGAGGAAGCACGTACACAGCGGACTTCTGTTTCTTCACAGGAAGAAATGAAGAAAATAGAAATATGGGAAAGAAAAATCAGAGGTGCAGTTTTATACGGCAAAGCATTTGTCTTTAACACATGAGGCTACTGTTTGCTGCTGGTCCTACTAGAGAATAATTCCCCTCAACAGTTGCAGGGGCAGCCCTCATTATTTAATTCGATTTTATTTGTATAATGTCAAATCATATGTTTTCTCAAGGCACATTACTGAGGGAGTGAAGTGATCTCTTTGGATAATGCAGTGTTATAAGCTGTGTGATACATGAAGGGACTTGATTGTTAAGGGCTTTGTATGTAATAAGCAGGATGTTGAATTCTATTCAGAATTTTCCATTAACTGCTCAAAGGATCCTGTAAGGAGTTTACAGACCTAATCGTATTGTTCCCCACTGGATTTGAGTCTCAAGTATCAAACATGTTTGATATTTCTGAGTTGAATCCCTGTAGTGTGAAGGGAACAGTGATGTAAAGCTGGAATATGTTGTTTTGGTCTTGTTGGGCGTGAGCCTTTTCTCATGTATGTAAACATAACACATACAAAGTGAAAGGGCTCAGAGAGCGTACCTCTTACAAGGACAACACTCAATCTCACCATGTTAACAAAAATAACAAACAGACCTCACCTTGTGATTTCAAATATTTAAAATGGGTTCAATCAGTTGTTGACACTCAGTAACTGACATTTTTTTCTGTTCTTAAATAAGTTTCTAATAAGCCTAGTAATTTTATTCATTTAAAAATGTAGAGTAGAAATCCCCCTTTTTGTTTTAAAGATAGAAACATATCCATTATTGTCATGTACAATTGCCTCAGAAAGAAAACCCATTATGCACCACAGTTTATTTGATGTGCAATTCTTTCTGCTGTCACCGAGATAGTTGTTTTGGAAAAGACACTTCCTCTAAAAGCCGAAACAATTTTCTCTCACTTGTGTGAATTGCTTTAAAAGCATTACATGCTGCTCTACACACATCATTTCAGCCTCCATTTGAAATGGGAACATTTGAATTAAATAGCGATGGGTTAAACTGCTCGCTTTTTTTTTGCATTAGCGTCTGAGCAGTAGTTACGTGCATTTCTGATTCTCTATAAATAAATTTGCTCTGGAGACAGGGCGACACGTGAAAATTAAAACGCTCGTTGGCCCATCTGATTACACACAGAGTCGCTGTCCAGCAGGGTGATTAATCCCCCTCATTCTCAGAGGTCATTTTAATGAGCTCTTTCCTCTGCAAACTAACTATTCAAAACATCTCATTTGGTGCAGCACTGCGACCCCCCCATAACTCAACCGCAAATTGCATCTGGAAGAGCACATATAAGCAGTGTGTGTGTGTGTGTGTGTCTGTGTGTGTGTGTGTGTGTGTGTGTGTGTGTGTGTGTGTGCACCAGATCTTTGTTTCTATCTATACTCCTCCTTTATGTTATCTCTGTGTGGGAGGTTTCAATGGGAGGTGCAGCTTCTTTCCAGCCCAGAGGATCCGGTTTAAGAGCGCAGGCTTCATAAATGAGGAATGAGCGACAGGGCTCGTCTCCGGGGAGCCGTGCGTGTCGCTTAGCTTCACAGATTTTTTTTGAAGCCATTTGAAATTCAGTATTCGTACTTTCGCTTTCTTACTTTGCACCCGTGTTAATCTTTTAGCATAAGATTTGGCTGGCTGTCATTTGTGATGCAGCGGCGGGTCATTTGTGAAGGCAGCTTGAGAAAACGAAGAAGAAATTTAGGATAGGAAATGTGATTTAGCTGTTTACATGCACATAACCCTGCAGTCATGGAGGAGAAGAGCAAGATTATCCTCAATCTGGAAGTAAATCTCTTTTTCCTACTTAAAACAGAAGAACGCACATTTTAAAAAGTCCACAATAGGATAGAAGTAATGATAACATGATGATAACACTTTTTTTATATGACAATAATAATGACATCAAGTCAAAATGAAAATCTACTTCTTTGTTCAACATTGCAGCAAGTCCCAATCGCCAACGGTACAACCAATCCCTGCAGCTCGGCCAAATGTGAGGTGAAGCTGGAGCTGGCCTTTGAGTATCTGATGAGCAAGGACCGCCTCCAGTGGGTCACCATCACCAGTCAACAGGTACGAGCTCACTGAGGGGGTCAATGTGGAGGCAACAAGGATAGAATTGAAATAAGATTGCGTTTATTACGAACGCAGCGTTTTGTTCGACTCCAGTTTGTATTTTATTAATACTGTCGTAGAAAGATCAAAACTCCTGCTCCAATCATCCAGATTTGATCGACTCTCCCTGTGATTTCAGGCGATCATGATGAGTATCTGCCTTCAGTCTATGGTGGATGAATTAATGGTGAAGAAGTCAGGTGGCAGCATTAAAAAGGTTTGTGTTGATTATACTTCATAACTGCTTCTTTATAAACACATCACATTTAATGTCTTGATCTGAAATTGGCTCTGAAAGGTAAATGGACTGTGTTTATACAGCGTCATATATACAGCATTTAAAATGCTACAGAACAGGTTTAATTCACTCACATTCATAAAACTCTCCTATATCCAGCACTTTTCTATCACACATCATTCATACACTGTCGGCACAGCCGTCAGGGGCAATCTGGGGTTAATATCTTGCCCAAGGACACTTCAAAATGCAGAATGGAGGAGCCGGGGATCAAACTACTGACCTTCTGGTTCATGGACAACCCTCTTTCTCCCCCCTGAGGCACATATGCCTTTAAAATAATTAAATTTGATTTCTCATGTGAGAAAATAGAGTTTATGTATATTTTAGACATTTCTCATGAAAAACACCATCTTACAGCATCTTTCATCAATTGTGGATTTACATAAAGTCGTAAAAATATAAAGCACAACCTCACAAATCCGTGGATTTTTGACGTCTTCATCCTCCATCACCTTTCAGATGCTGAGGAAAAGACACAACGGCTCCATCCACCGAACAGACACTCAGCAAGCTGTGAAATCTCCCCCTCTGCTGGTGAGGAACTGGAGCACATGCCATAACTTTTGTTTTTGCTTCCTGTAGATCTCAGCCTCAGTTTAATTTATTATGTTTCCTGCAGGAGTCCCCCGACCAGAACCGTGAACAAACCGTCAAACTCTCTGTGAGTGTAATGTAGCAGAATGACGCAGCTGCAATATAACCTGAAACATATTCCCATAAATCATTGTCCTCCCTGTGCTAATTGTAGTATCGAATGTTCCGTTTAGACCAAGCTGAGCTCGGTGTCTCTCCGAGGGATCAGCGCCTCCAACTCGGCAAACGACATCAGTGGCAACGATTTCCACGGCAACTATGCTTTTGAGGGAATCGGGGACGATGACCTGTAACCCTGACCTCCTCAGATTCTCCCCCCTCCCCTCTTCATTCCACTGTCAACAACTGGGATGACAAAGATTATGAGCTGAGCTGAGCCGAGCCGAGCAAAACCACAAACACACTCACGTGTCCGATTCTGCAAGATTGTAGCTTCTTCCTGGAGAAATCGCTGCCTTAAGCTCTCATGTAATCGTCAACAGTGTCCTTTCTTTTTATACTTTTAAAAGCTCATTTTTAATTTGCATTCAGGTAAAAATCATCCGAACCAGTTGAACCTTCAACTGTTTTTTTATTTAACTCGTGGCAGCACACAATGAATAGCATGTAAGACTACAGGTACTCAAACAGAGATCGTTTCTCTCTGCTACTGCTTCTGTTTCCTTCACACAGATTACCGTTTCATAACAGTACGTGTGAAGTTAAATTCTGAAGTTAGATTCTCGAGGTACCGTGCAAAACTAATATAGTCTGAATTCCGTGAAGAAAACCTGGATTCTTCCCCCAGCGGCTGCATGTTCTTGTCTAACCAGAGAGCCAAATGTTTAGTCAGACCTGGCACTAGTGATAAAAGAGCAGAGCTGGACGTGTTGACATTGATCTCACAACTAGATTATTCAGAGCAACTGCTTGTGTATGGATGGTCAATGGTCGGCTTGGCTATATACCAAAATGTCATATTTTTATACTGTCAGTGATCCTCATGCTCTTCACGTGCCAAGTCTGTAAATATCTTAAAGGAGACATATGATGCTTTTTCAGTTTCTCTTTCCTCTAGTGTGTTTTTTAGGTTGTTTATGTGTAAAAAGTTAAAAAGCTCCTGAAGCGCAGGACAAACGTAGGACTCAGAGGTTTCAATTGAAATCCCTCATTTGTTTTGAATGACGTCAAGCATTGCCGAGCTGCATTGTGGTTCCGTTGCCAAGCGCTGCGTATGTCAAAAGTTGAGCAGAGAGACAGGAGTTAAAAACCAAGCATTTCAGACGGAGGCTGAAAAGAGGAGCTGCTGCAATGGAAAGTTTGAGGAAAGCGAACATTTCAAGTAATAACCCACATTAAAAATCTGAGCAGAATATGTCTCCTTTAACAAGATAGCGGTTGTGTTTTCATCTTACGTTGGAGGCACAGTCGCTCATACTGCCTTCAGAAGTCTTCTGATGCCTTAACTTTTACTTTTTTATGATTTTGCCTCGTGGATTACCTTGTCATCCAACGTGACGCTGGCTCAAACATTAAATATGCGTCAGACGGTGTTTCCTAGAATCTTGCAGAACTTGATAGATGGTTGATTTGGCCGAGCTGCTTGCACTTGCTGAACCCATCGTTTTTGCACAGTATTACAGGTGGAGATGAATGTTCGAGTGGAAGCTTGAGCGCAACATAAAACATTTTGTGGAGTTTTGTTTTCCGAGGGGCTCAGTAAATCCATCTGTGATTATTATTTTTTTAACCAATTTTTTAAGGTTTCTCATTAATGCCAAATTATAGTTTACTAAAGCATTTTGCACAAAATATAAACAACAAATTATGACAATGTCACTTTTTATATTATGTACATGCAATTAAGCATTCTGAACATTTACTAATATCTTTACCATCATAGCTTATTGTAATCAAATAGATCAAATGTAATCTAAGCTGTATAGAACAAAAAGTTTAAGTGGACTAACATTTATCGTTGTTTACATAATGCTTAGGGGACTTTTTTTTTATAGTTCGAATGGAAAGTTTACAATTTTTGCATCTGATTTTCTTTGTCTTGTTCTTGTTGGGCGAGTAACAGTGGAGCATTGTGAGGGGCTTCAGTTCATTTGGAATCTGTGCGTACATTGTGCCAATCATCTCAGAGGACTCAGTGGCTCATGTGATCACAATTGCTGGAGTGAGGAACGTTCATGGAGGGCAGACAAACATATCCCGCTGTCGTTCCATATTTTTATAGCAGTTGTTTCAAGAAAGCTGCATCTCGGCCTTTGTTGAAGCCTCTAAATGTAAACCTACGCCCAACCTGTCAGCAGCTTTACTGGTAGCCACAACTGTACACAAAATGTTGTCGATAAAAATGTCTTGTTCTTTCACTGCTGTGCTTCTTCTCCTGTCTGTTTTTTTCCCGTAGAGGAACGTGGACACCAGCCGTCTTTTATTTTCTCACTTCCTGTCACTAAATACATGGAAGCCGCAAGGTCCCGGGTGTTTTTTAATGTGTAGGTGCCAAATTACATGTCGAGTGCATTAACGACAGCGTCTCTATTAAACTAAATGTCAATTTCATGAAGATTCTTTTGACTTGATTCATTCCACTGTTCATCTCTTTGATTTTATTGGTAAGGTCGGTAACAACTGTCCAGTCTGTTTGTCATGATGCTAAAATAAATTCTGAAATGAGACGACCTTGTGTTCCTCTGTTGTCAGTTAATGGTTTGTTTGAGTCATTTCTTCATCGCCGCTCTGCTTCACTCCCACGTTTGTTTACAGCAGCAGCAGCGTTGGTCGGCTGCCATGTAATGTGTCAAGAATCTGACTCAGAGCTGCTGCTGCTGCTACAAGTGTCGCATTCTGACAAATCACAGTGGGAGAAACACGTGGAACTCATTTTAATGAAGGTTCATCTTCATTTTAGCTGCTTCAGTGTCACAGTCCTGGTTTCAGCACGTGTTGACTCACTGTCAGAGTCGGGCCTCAGTGGGACACGTGAATACGACGAGCCACAGCAACAATCTGAGTAACGTGTGTGTTCTTATGTTCATGCACATATGTGTGAATATACATGATAATGTCAGTGTATATATAGATATATTGTGTGTGAGTGAGGGATGTTTAGACACATTTAAACGTGTTGGATATTTAAATCCAAAGATCTCTTTCTCTCTTGGTTTATGTCTCCATGTTCACTGATGAGCTACTAACCGTCTGTCTGCTGTTTGATGCTGGACAAATAATCTTCACTGGCTGTTTCTCTATCTGCAGCTGCTGAAACAAAGATGTAAGAGTGTTTATTTGTGATAATCAGCTTGTGATAATAACCTGTGGGTGTTCTTGCTATGAACGAACGCTTTCACTTCACACAGCAATTTTACTGATCGCTGTTATGTTATTTCCAGTCGCTCCACACAGCGACATCATTCAAGTTAATGAGATGATACTTAAATTAGATGCTGAGTTTGTGCCAGTCAGAGAAACACAAATGAGAAGCAGCCTGATGTCGGACATTCAATGAAATGAATCCCATGTGTTTATTTGAAATTCCTCACTTAAGGCATTTATGAGACACTGCATAAGGACAAAAATGGACACTCGGGGGATGTTGTACTAATCGATGGGTTGGATGATGATGATGGTGTCATGGCAAATTGGCAACCTGAAAAATATCTCACTTGCATATAATAGTCATTCACAAATAGAGTCAAATTTAAATTATTGTTATTCCCTATTGTTCTTTCCATGGAAACTAAATGACACCACACATTGAAAATGGAAAAAAAAAAGTCTAATTCTATATATTACCGTATGCAACTCTAGCCTCGTATTACAGCCACATTAGAAAAATAAAACAAGTATTACACACTCACATGCTTGCTAATAGTGTTATCTTTTTTAAGTAAAAAAAAAACATGAATGGGCTAATTTCACAGTCAATAGTAAATAGTAGGAGGAAGGTGATTCTACAGTCTGTCTCGACAAAGACCCAAAAAGTAAAGTTAGATTACTGATATGTAGCAGATTTGTGGGGGAAATTATTTGAACATGCCCATGTCCCTCCTGAATCACAAATAAGATATTGATGCTTTTCCCGTCTCAGAACTGAATCCTAAACGTGCCAACATGTCGCTGTGTGTATGATTGTGCTTTTCCCTTTATCCATACAACCAACTAAAATGCTTGTGCATGCAGTTTTAGTGTTCAAATGTTTTTTTGCCAACATTCTTGTTTTCCACTTCACTTTCTATCCTGAGGGGTTTGGCAAAAAAACAAAAAAACCCCACAATCTAGTCAAAGTTGCAGGAGATTATTTAGAAACACAACCTTATTATTCAATATAGTTTTAGCGAGTGTAAAACAATTCCAGTACTTTTAAAAAGCACCTTGCACCTTACATACATTAGTAAATTCATCTGATGGCATGCCATGACCAGAGCTGTGCCCCAATGCAAAGGAAAACACAATACTGGCTCTTCACGAGGACCCATCTTTACTGAAAGCTGCACTGTGTAGTCTTCTCAGCATATTTTAAGTTGAGTTTTAAGATAAAATAAACCTCAACAGTCAAACCAAAGGTAAATCAGTCTCCTGTCATGTGATATGAGTGTTATAAGAATTCTGTAAATCAGTTACATTCATGTTATTTTATTTTGATTCTTGTGGCACTGACGACTTCGATAAAAACATCGATGATCTTTTATCAAACAAATAAAAGAAACTACACGGTGCAACGTAACAGTTCGGGGGAAGTTGTGCAGCAGCTCCATGTAGATTTGTTCAGGAGTATTTGGTAGAACAGGATATGTGTTTTTTTTGTTAAGGGGAACTGTTAAAAGAAGCGCGCAGTAAAAGACTGAACCAGACAGTGAAAAGACTTTGACAGTAAAGACCATTAGTCGCGACATAAACACAGCGACAGAGGAGAAGACAAACTATGAACAGACTCATCCACCTTACTTAATCCAAAAGGCATCCGACAATTGGTTTTTCATAATTGTGCGAGATTCTACAAATTAACAATTAGCAGCCTCTGAAGACGTCTGACGAAACACTAAACGACGGACACGTTAAAACAATATAAAGGCTCTGTGAGAATAAACAAAAACACAATTGCTGGTAGCTTAGTTCTGCTGTGTTATATTTATACAATCTCAAGTTTGTAGCACGAGTGTATAGTCTGACCTCCCTCCCGAGACATATACTGCATATCAACTCCTGCTTCTTTTCTGTGAGTCTGGCCTCCCCCTCCCATCCCTTTCCCCACTTCGTCGTCTTCGTCGTTGCCAGTCATTGGAACCTTGACCCAGCCGTCTGTGGCCAGGCCGTGTTTCTTCTGGTGTCTCTTGTAATTGTCCCAGTGGCCAGTGGTGTAGCCACACTCCTGACACTTGTACGGCTTTTCCCCCGTGTGCCGCAGCATGTGCCGCTTCAGGTTCATGCTCTGGTTGCAGCTGTAGCTGCACACGGCACACTGGAATGGTTTGGCGCCCGAGTGCACCCGCTGGTGGCGCTTCAGGTTGGCCAGGTTCCCGCAGGCGTAGTCGCACAAATGGCACTTGTAAGGTTTCTCGCCCGTGTGCACTCTGTGGTGACGCTTGAGGTTGTCGAAGTGCGCTGAGGCGTAGTCGCACTGTGGGCACTTGTACGGTTTCTCGCCGCTGTGAGTTTTCATGTGGCGTGCCAAGTGGTTTGGGTAGTGCGTGAGGAAGGGGCAGGCGGCGCAGGTGTACACCTTGTCGCTGCGCTCGCCGGGGCTGTTGGGAGACGACGAGGCGTCTTTAGTCAGCATTTCAAGGGTACACTTGGCACAAATTTGGGCTGAGGAACCGTCCTCATCCTCCAGGACAATGCCACACAAACGGCAAGTAAAGGGAAAAAGTGAAGGGGGGAGGGTTGCACCGTCTGATACGTCTCCCCTATTTGTCCTGTTTCCCTCGTTACCTGTGGTCGGCAGCACAGGCGGAGGCTGGTGGCTGGGAGCAGGGTTAGAGGGCGGGATGGGTGGTGGTGATGCCCCCTTTAAGCCATCGAAGGCCGACAGGAAGTCATTGTTCGGGGCTCCTAAATTCAGGTTAGACGTCGGCCTTTCCACCTCTGAAACTTCACACAAAGACATATTATGTTATATTAATTACAAATAGTAAAACTTTATATTTATAGCACTTATTTAAACAAGGTTACAAAATGCTTTACAAAATATATGTCAATAAAATGAAACAAGATAAGAAATTTAACAAGAAAGAAAATTAAAACCAGTTAAAAATCAGGCATAGAAAATCCTTTCCTATAAACAATGATTAGTGTCACAGCATCATGGAGAACAGGTATGATTTATAAAAACAAACATACCCTTTGCTGAGGCACCAGGCTCTTCTTCACTGGGTCTTTGCCCGGTCACATGCCTCTTCAGACTGTTCAGGCCAGGGGGGGGTCTCGGCGGAGCCTCCTGTACAGAGCCAGCAGAGGGCACATGCATGCGCTGGTGCCTCTTGAGGTTGCCGAGGGAACTGCATGCAAAAGTGCAGGTGTCACATTTGTAAGGTTTCTCCCCGGTGTGAATGCGCAGGTGACGCTGCAGGTTCACCAGCTGGGCCGAGGCATAAGTGCACAGGGGGCAGTTGTAGGGCTTCTCCCCATTGTGGGTCTTCATGTGGCGCTTCACATGATTGGCGTAACGCGAGGAGAAGCCACAGAGGTGACATGAGTGCAGCTTGGCCAGTTTGTCCTCGGCTGTCAGTGCTTTGTCACCCATCCCGTCGCCATCGAGCTGCGAGTGGGAACCTGAGCGAATCCCGCTTATGCCTCCAAAGGGGGAGCAGAAGTCTGTAGTCTTAGCTTCCCTGGAGGCTTTGCAGCACCTAAGGCAATACGGACCAACGAGGTCTATGCCAGGTCCCAGAGGTTCATCGCGGAGCTGTCCGCAGCCCCTGCAGGACAAGTACGGGGGAAAACTGGGCTCCGACTGGGCTGCTCTGCCCTCATCTTCCCGCCCGTTGTCTGTCGTGCTGCGAGAGTTGTCTGTTTCACTTTCCATGCTGAGCTGTCCGTAGGCAGGGCTCTCCTCATCACCCAGAGGATACACAGAGAAACCAATCTCAGCAGCTACCTCTGTGCAGGGAAGACAAACAGGAGAAAAATGATTCCAGACACTGCACACGTCTTCAGCAGAGACACACAATCCAATCTCAGCGCTGTACAACTGGGAATAACAAAACAGAGGGCAGTCGTTCACTACCACTCTCTAAGGCTTTATATTTGAAACCCTTCTGTCTCTCTGCATTTAAACCAGATGACCTTGATCAAGCACATACTCTCAGTCAGATAAAGGTCTCTTAGGAGAAGTATAACAATGTTAATAAGAACAGTACAGAGAAGACGCTCAACAAGCACCAGAGACATTTACAGATATATCAGCCACATGGGGTCAAACACAAGAAGCAGATGTTCAACACAAATTAACAGAAATCCTAAATTAGCAGTATTAAATAAGGGGGGGGGAGTGGTGATATAATTAAATGTTAAATCGTTACACAAAAATGCAGAAATTATTTGCAATTTTTCTAAGTTGGTACTGAAACATTCTGGACTCCCACTCAAACAAATTAGTTTAACTGCTTGCTGTAATTACAATGCAATTAAAACACCTTTCAAATAAAGTGCTTCCGTCCAGTTCAAACTAACCTTTGCAAACTATTAAAAACAACCATCCTACTGAGCAGGGTAACTTCAGGACAGAGAATCTTTTCAGGACAAAAAACAAAGTAAGAAAAGGGAATTTCCAGAAAGAAGGTAACATTCGATACTCACAGCTCTTATGAGGTTTTTTGAGAATAAAGAACAGAAACAATGAGAAAAAACAATTTTCCCAGCCGTTAGAAAGAAAAGCTTCATGGGGTTCAAAAGACTCCGCCGCTCTCCAGCTTCAGTGCGTGCGTCTGAGAGCGAACAAGCCAGATGGAAAACCACCTTCTCTCACAGATGCAGACGCAGGATGTGAGGAAGGCGAGAGTCGAGGCTGCCCTTTTATCCTGCCCCATGGAAACCCCTCGTGGATGATTACCGTGCCTAATGATAATGATGATGACTATAATGGTGAGGCTGCTGCTGATGATGATGAGGGTAGATGATGATGATGATGATGAGGGCAGATGATGATGATGATGATGAGGGTAGATGATGATGATGATGATGAGGGCAGATGATGATGATGATGATGAGGGTAGATGATGATGATGATGATGATGTTGGGGGGAAATGATAATGGCAGTAGGGTTGTGGGAGCAGAGGCAGCAGATGATGATGATGATGATGATGATGATAAATAAATGCCCTCTTATAATGGTGTCCTTGATGGTAATAGTCCTATTTTTTATTACCCTTATATAATAATGGTGTCTCAGCTCCTTTCTCTACTTTTCTGTTTTTTAGATCACTCTCTCTGACAAAGATGCATGCTGGGAAATACGAGCTGGTGGAGCCATCTCTCTTACTGTTGAACAGAGGGGCTACTCTTCATCACAGAGAAAGTCAGCGGTGAAAGTCGTCTCTGTAGTGCCACTGCTCTACTTCCTCCAGTGGTTACAAAAATTGAAATAATTTTCATCTTTGATTCACTATACGTCTTCATGGTAATGGACAGGATGTGAAAATGAGGGTTTACACACAAAAACACGATGCTCTTGCCCTTTCACCGAGCAATCGTAGGACTAGATTGAAATGCACTATAATGGGCCGGGCTGCGTGACCCTCCCATTCACATTTATTGTATAATCAATCAACACATTTGCAATATGTGGGATAACATGTCCATGAAATATACCAACAAATAACAATAAGCAGAAGAGCCACCATGCAACATTCATAAACAGAGAAACACCACAAGTGAATGGACAGTTAGACAGCGGGCTTTTAGAGTTAACGATCATTTGAATGTTCATTAAATCAAACCTTATTTTATATGAGCAATGTTCTGCAATAACCATTTAATGAAATTAAGTTTATGTTTTTGTCTGCGCTGTTAGCAGGACTAAGCTACAACTAGTCAACAGATTTACATATTTTGTGGAGGATGACCTCAGGAAGAACCCAATCCATTTTGAATTGGATCCAGATCAGGGATCAGATCCAGTAATCTTTTTCAGTTTCTTTAAAACTGTGAGATTTTCCATGATTTCATACAGAATCATTTATGGATCTGGATGAAAAACATCTGGCATGTTTAGGGGTCTGATATTTGTGAATGTGTGCAATTTGGTGCACATCCAAATAAGAATCTGGATCTAGTGAATTTAAATGTGGGTTTCTTGGCAGAGGTATGCTAGTTACATTCTATACTTATTCATCCATATTGTAGATTTCAGTGTTATTACACTGCTACTGGCAGTGAGTCGGTGTCTGACTGGCTTCATTTTGTCTACAGTATCTGCACATGAGGGATTTCCAGAACACAATGCAGCATGTGATCCAGCATTGCTGTAATTTTAGTACAATGCCATCAGCTGCACTGTTTACTGTTTACTGCTTACTGCGTACTCATTAAACTGTGTCAGTGAATTAACGCTAATGCCAAAATGAACATTTCCTACAGCATGTCGTTTAATTTTTAAAATGTGCAACTGGTGGCTTTTATTGTGAGGATCTGAGGATCAGTTTGTAATGTTGAAGGTTTTAATGGAACAAGCAGGAGCAGCCACTGTGAGCTGTTTAATGAAGTGCTGCAGGCAACAGGTTGAAAATGAGATTGTGGTTGTGATAATTTTGGTTAAAACAACATGAGCTTGGCTAAACTATAAACAGATACACAAGCTGCGCCTCTTCCGTATTTCAGACAAAGTAGGGCCAGTTGGTGTTTTCGTATCAAAGCAACGCAATGCAACATTTATACCTTAAAAAAGAAGCTTCAACATGATTATGAGTCATTCAAAACCAGCTGATTACAAACCTGAGAACTTTTCCAGGCCTAAAATCTTGTTGTCATGATCAGGATCACCAAACTCAAGGTCTTGTCCGAGAAGGAAGTCTGTGTCTAATGAGAGGTTTCCAGGAGCTTCAGTGGCTACAGCATCTTCAGAATCCACTGCAGTTACAGAGAGGAGTCAATAAACAACATTAAATCATTAATATCACTCTGCTAACAGTTGTAAAAATGGTTCATTATTAATTATTTTGCATGAAAACTTTACTATTGCGGGCAGGGAAAAAGCAGAAAGCATATTTTTAGAGAAATAAAAACAACACTGAAGCCTCTTGAGTTACTGTGGTGGGATACAACCACAATCAGATGTGGCTTGGTGGGGAACTTTTTAGTAAAGATGATTTAGTAACCCCTAATCCTAAACCCTAACCCCTAATCATCTGTGTAGTTAATAGCCTCCATTTTTTATAAATATTTTGCCAACATCAAGTTTAGCTGAAAGAGGGTTATTACAATGAGAATGCTGCCTTAACCCACGGCAGATTACTCAGAGAGGAAAATGACACAACTCTTGTCTTTTTATGTACAAAAGCATTTCATGAGCAAAACAAATGAACCACTAACTGATGACAAATTGAAGTGTTTCACTGCGGCTACAGCTAATGACGCCTGAAACACAAAATTGGCCTCTCAAGCTTGATGGAATCAAAACAAGTATCACACAGCTGTCACTCCACCATCAGGCCAAGTCAAGGACACAGTCACACTCAGCCCCTTTCAGGCAAATCCTCATACAACGGCCTCATGCTGCCATCTACTGGTTGTTTTAGTGCCTGACATTTAATGACGATACTATTCATGAGGATGCAGGATGTTTGTTCTTACAGAGCCACACCTCATATTAGATTAATATGTTTGGTTTTTTAAACAGCGCCGTTAATGACTATCTCACTATTAAATGCAGGGCCAAGGGAATGGGAATACATTACTGGAAAACTATTATGCCAGATAGGAACACAGCCATGAATCACAGTAGTGAGTCATGATGATTGCATCTCCTCAGCTAATTTGTTGTGGGTTCATGAAGATAGAAAGTATTTAAACAAATACCATCCCTGACCCTTATACGTGAGCATGGATTTCTCACCCTAGTGAGAGGTCGAAGGGTCCGTAGCATATGAACTCCACGTGCAGCAACTTAAAATGAATGGTAGTAATAGCTATTCAATTCTAAAGCAGATATATCTACGAGACAGATTACAATTGAACAAAGAAAGACATTTGCTCATAACAAGTAGTTGTGTTTATAGAAATTAAGTAACTCTTTAACATTTCTTCCTGAGCAACATTGTGTCGGTATGATCCATATGATGGATCGATGTGAAGAGAATAACAAGAAACACATGGTAATCATTCAGGCCAGTATTCAAATGAACTAATCATTGTTAGATGAGTTATTATTTCAGCAGTTCAGTTATGCTGTGACCTATAATATTGAAAAAAAACCAACAACCTGGGAACACTTACACTTGACTGGCTGTGGATTCTGCTGTTTTTTTCTTGGCATCTTCCAGTCAGCCTCTCTCTGTTTTGCAGCGTCTTCTTGCAGACTTCGACAACCATCAGCTCATTCTCGTGTGTTTGGAAGATATTCTGTAGTAGTACTACAGGTGCAAGACAGAAGACAAGACGTTGAAAAGATAGGGCTGCAAATAACAATTCATTTAAAAAAAACATTAGTATGCACATTATTTTGCACAATTCACAGTTACTTAGTTTTATAAAATGTTATGTCTGCTATGTATAGAGCTATGCATGAAGTTTACCTCCAAGAAACATTGCACTTGAAAAAAGAAAAAATGTGCAGAGACAGAATCTTATGTTGAGATTTTTTTTTACAAATATAGATGTCAGTGGTATAATAATGTTTTATCATATATGTGACAGTTGTATTGTCAGAGGTTTGTCGAGTGTGAGGTGTGTCTCTCTGAGTGTGTTTGTTCTTGTCTTGTCCTGTTTACTTTATGACGCAGGTTGTAATGACACTAATGTCAAATGCAAAGCTTTTGTGGACCCAAGGAAGAACAGCTGATGGGAGATCTTACTAACTAACTATACTGAAATATTAGTTGATCAAATAAATCATTTCAGACCTAAAATCAAAACAGAACCTCAGTGATCATACTGTTTTCCCGATTTGATCCAGTCCCCCATTGTTCTGGACCACAAGTCCACACTGATGGTGTCATCTAAACAAACCACTAAACAGTGGATAACAGATTATTTCACGCCTTCCTTCATAACTGTACTGTAACATGTGGAGATGTGTTTCCCTACTTCACCCTATATTCAAATAAAACAGCTAACAACTCCTTGTTCATCATTTGCAGCAGATCTATTGTGTGCTACAGTGAAGCTAAATGGGGGATATTTGCATAAAAAAGTAATTAACACGCTGCAACAAAGCAGGTCACTCAAATACACTGATATGAACGAGATCTCTCACAGCTAACACACCTCACAGGACACACGTGTCCCTGTGGCTGTGGGAGCGGGTGGTTTTCACACTGTAAACAAACAGGAAACCCACAGTTACCCAGCCAACCACAGGGCTACCTTAACAAAATGGCTAACACGTTAGACAGAGAGCAATCAAGCGAGCCAGCTTCACACAGACGTGCCTTCGTGTAGCTTGCAGCTAGCTAATGTCCCCCACTGCACAACAGGACGTGTCAGCCTCATCTGTGGAAAGTGCACGAGCTGGCGTTTGGCTAATCACAACCTCAGCGCGGTAATGACTGACGAGAGGCATCTCCAGCCGCGGGTGTACATGTTACCCTGCAGCTACGTTAGCCGAGCAGCTAATGTCAACTTCACCGCTTAGCTCTGATGCTAACTCACCTAAAAAACGTAAATATCCCTGTGGGCGGAGGTGGTTCCTGTGGTCGGGGAACGCGCCATCGGGTGCGAAGTGTTTGTCCTCACATGAACGACGTCTGGAGATCCGCCATTTCTTCATGAGCCGCGGTGACAAAGAAAGGCAATTAATGCTATTTTTCATAACTTAATTGATTTTCTCCTTCGCCCGCGATCCAGCTGCAGCGACACCGCCACGTCCGGCCCCGGACCTTCAGAGTAAGAGCGACAAAGCTAACGTCATCATAATAATAATAATAACTTTATTTATATAGCACTTTTAAAAAACACAGTTTACAAAGTGCTTTGACAGCAAAGCAAGAAAAGTGAATATAAGAGAAATAACAATCAGCTGGATGTAATTTCACAAGGAGGCCAGACAAACACGTTAAGGTGGTCAGGAACAAGGATGTGTGTTATAGACTTTAAAAAAACCTTAAACTTAAAAAAAGTAATATGACAATAACAATAACTTAACAACTCAAATAAAAGGTGAAAAGTAAACGATAAAACCACAATCCTGTGACGTAGCTAGTATGAATGTCATAATACAGCTAATACTCACTGATTTGTGTAATTTGAATTGTGAACAGTAAAACACAAGTATTAATCCAAAACATTTGTTCAAGATCATTTTGGTTGTTTGATCAGCTTGATATTTTTTTTGATTGTGAATGAGTATTTGTTTCAGTGGTCTCAATATAAATATAGAACAAATAGTTAGCAAAACTAAACATTTCGACGTATGGTTTCAACCATAGACTGTAGAAGAAAACAGCTGGACAGTAATGATCTCACCTTGTTTATTCAAAGAACCTCGTTTAAGTACTTTACCTAAGGTGTTGTTTTATTTTCATTTATTTTATAAATATGTAAAAAAGTTACAGTGGATAACTTTAAAATGATTATTTATTAGATTCCTTCAAGCTCTTTGCTTTTATTGTGAAGGCCTGAGGCGTTCACAGGACGCTGTGTTGTTGTTGGAGATTTGCACCTTGATTCTATTGTAAACATTTCTGTTCCGTCTCTCGGGTGTTTCCGCTTCCGAAAATAATTTCCGGTTGCTGTGCCGCACTGAATTGTGGTAGTTGTGGTTCTTAGAGATAACGACGGAAACGTCCTTGTTATGATCTTGGTTCGTGAGGTTTTTCTTCACAGTTCTGGGGCTGTGGGTTTATTTAAAAGTAAATGAAATATTTAATTCAATTTATTTGACACTGCCACTTGACAAGTACATGTTATATAGAGTATTTACATTGCTTACAGTTGTACAATACATCATGGGGACAATATAAAAAATTATATACAACTATTACACTTTAGGTTTAGTAAATGTAAATGACTTACTAAAAGAATTACCTGAAGTATATACAGGTTTTTCCATGGGGTACTTTTATCACATATATCCACAGCTTTAAAGTGTGTTTCATGTGTCCGTTGTATTTTCACCAACATTATCAGGGCAGTGTTTGTTTCAGTGTGAGCACTGAGAGTCTCAGGAGCTTCAGGAGATCCCCGAGCAACAGGAAGTGTAACAGAACCAAAGACACATCATTTCCCTGTAATGAGCACTAGATCAACATCATGTACAATTTAACACAAATCCTCAATATGTTTCATATTTACTCAGTGTATAATTATAAACCCATGTGCATTCTGTGCAATACCAGGTCCTTTTGTGTTTTTACAACTTTATTCACAGACACATGAAATAACCATTTTAAGTGACAGAAGCAGTTGAGGAAATATAATCAGTTACAAATCATGTCAAAAACAATATACAACTTAAAACGTTTATTGTTTGGACAGTATTTGGACAGTTGTATTGCTTTTTGTAAATTCAAATCCAGTGAAATGAAGTCTATGGTTTGGCACAGTGCATTTGTGGATGTGACATTGACCCTGCAGCATCATTAGGGTTTGTAATGAAGTCAATCTTTCAAATCAAATGTGACTGGGCATTTATGAATAGGAGATCCTGGGACTGTGCGTCATCCCATTGGTTCATGTCACTGCAGTGTGCCTCCCCTCTCTCCTTCCCCTCCCTCCCTCCCTCAGTCTGCTGCTGCTGCTGCACAGTGGGGGGGGGAGTCTCTCTCCTGCACCGCGGGGGTCTCCTTCTCTGCACCGGGCCGGACTCGACCATCACACCCGCCCTCTCTGCAGCCTCCATCGGTCGCCAAGTCGCTGTCGGTGCGGCGGTGGAGAGGAGAAGAAAACCGAGGAAGAGGAGGAAACAGAGGAGGTTTGGAGGAAGATTGCTGTGCCACCGTTTGGTCCTGGAGGGGAGGAGCCAGTTGTTGATCTCTACGCTGCAAAGACAAGGCGCCGCGCACAGCAGAGAGGTAAGACACCGTTTACGTAATGTGCAATTATAGCGTGTTTTTGTTGTGCGCCCGTGGCCCGGTGCAGACTCTCAGATGCGCAATTTAGACGCACGTAGCGCTGTCATGCCTCGTGTCCAGGAGGTGATGCACACATACATGCAGTGTAATGCGAACACGGAGCCTGTTAAACATGCCACTCCCTGCGATAGCTGCACTGATGCCCTGATCAGACCTGCCTTTAAAAATGCATGTATGAAATCTGTTGATTTACACATAATTAAACAAGTGTGGGTTATTTCTGCCTTAATAACACATTTAATATCATTTGAATTCACAATTGCATCCACAATGTGTGCTCCTCAGGCCTGCATGTGGTTTATTTGGTGGAATATGTTTTTTCTTCATTTATTTTTCAGGGTTAAAAAGTAAGAATGAGTGATTTACACGAGAATAAAAAAGACTTGTGGCTATCATAATTCTGCACCTGTACACTGTACTGAAGGATATCGAATCTAATCTCTTATACTGTCCTTATTCAACAGTATGAAGTGTAGGGGGGCTTCCAGAGGTCACTTAGAAACAGTGTTGAGCAGCACATGGAGTATTTTGGCCAGGGATGCTACGGAGCACAGAAGTGTGTGTTTTCTCACCTCTTAAGGACCATTTCCAGCATAAACACTGATCTTATGAGGACCAGTATCATCATATAGACCAAAGTCTGGCCCTAATAAGGGAAAACCTATTTTCTGAGGTCCTGGTTAAGGTTAGATGTAAAATGTGAATGGTGGTTGGGTTAAGGTTAGGGTAAGACATGGATTGGTCACGGCCAAGAGTAGGGATAAGGGCCTGGTTCAGCTGTACACAAAGAATGGGAATCAATGCAAAGTCCTAATAAGGGTAGCTGTGTGTGTGTGTGTGTGTGTGTGTGTGTGTGTGTGTGTGTGTGTAGGCTGAGGTCACTCTCATGCCTCTGAAACCCGCATTGCTGATGTGGGCTTGTGTCCAGTGAACAGATATTTAATATGGTGGAACATCAGGTTTCCCTCCACCGAGGAACAGAACTCAACACATGGAAACTGACTGAAGACCAATTGTCTTTTTTAAACCCAGTGATCGTACAAGCGCAACATGGCGAGTTTCTTCCCCGTTTTGGCATTTCAGAGGAAAGGGAGGCTGGTTTGAGGCAGATGCTGGTTGTGTAATAATCCCCTCTGTCATTGATATTTCATCTGTCATCCAGAGAAGGGCCGTTCCACAGGCTCCAACACGCATTATTCGTGAGAGGCTGTAGAAATACCTTAAAGCAGCTGAGGTTCTAAAGACATGCAGAGGATGTTGTCCAGGTTTGTAAGAAATGCAACAATAAGTTTGGTTTGTAAAACTTAATATCATGGCAGCTCATTTGCATCTCATTAATGTTTGGATGAAGAGGTCAGATCAGGTTAATCTCATATTCTCGTGACACAGAAACAACCATCTGTGCGGGTCAGGTGCCACGGTCGGCCGTCGCTCCCTCAAAGTTCATCTGTTGTTTGTTTTCTAAAATGAAAAAGTGTCAACGTTTTGTATCATGATTATAGAGACCGAAGTTACCATAGTTATCACTATTATTGTTTAAAAAAAAGTACTGATTCTCAAACTAAAGTTATTTCACCAAGTTTTATAGTCTAGTCATATATTTTGTAAAAATAATAATACAGCACCATGTAACGAAATGTGGCAAAGAAGATTTTAGTTTTATTTTGAAAACTTTCTTTAAATGCAAGTTTAAATGAAACCTTGAATGATTGTGGAACAGAGGAGAGAAGGTTGACAGCTTGTTACAATAATTGTCGACCATGAATTTATTACAAACCCCAGATCTCTGAGATTTAGAACAAAACATCAGCATTTGGTTTGCTTGCTATTGCCAGCGCACCAGCAACTCTCCTGCTGTTCCGGTGTCAACTAAATCACCACGTTAACTACGTTAATTAAAGATTGAAACAATACAACTAACCATTAGGAGTTTTACCACAGAATACAGCGAGTATAAGCTACCATTTGGGTGGATTGTCCCCTTTAAACTCCTGCTCTAAAACTTTTTACCTGTACTGCAAGTCTGTGCATGTGCTTGTGCTGCTTCTGTCGTTAAACCTAAATCTGCGTGATGCTGAATCATGTCAGGAAAGTAAGAAAACAAGGCTGCAGCCAAATCCTCTTCATATTGTGTAATGACGTCCAGCCATGCTGTCGGCCAAGAGATCGCTTCTCTTCTGCCTTTGGAAATGAATAAAAAATGAGGGTTTGCTTCTGTGAAAAGTGGCTGAAGCTTGTTGTAGTGGAGAACTTACTTACTTTCCTTGTTTGCTATAAAGAGAGCTGCAGCGTGCACATGCATAATCCTGAGTTTGGCAGAGAATATAAAAAATATTCTACTGTACCTCCTATAACCGCTCTGAATGATAGACTTGATGATCATTAATGTTTGTTAGTTCGCAGGATTACGTAAATACTACTGGACCGATTACCACGAAACTGGTGGAAGGATGTGGTATAGGTTAAGGAAGAACCATGAAATTTTGATGCAGATTTGGATCAGATGGCAGCCTCAGAAAAAAGCCTCAGAATAAAATTATAACTTGATGTATATTAACAGTTTTATCACAATTATTTGTTTCCACCTGAATGGAGGGCAATTTTTAGATTTGGGTCCCTGAAAGAAAGTTTTTGTGTTTGTCCTCTAATTCCTAGCTAATCCCTCGAGACGCCTTAAGAATTTGAATTCCTGTAAAGGCTGTGTTTTTATTGGATTGCTTGTTCTCCGTGGCAGAGAAAGCCAGTGAAGTATAAAACCTCAAAGGAGTGCCTGTAGTGTACAGAGGGGAGGTCAAATCTTTAAGTGCGTCTTTGGCCTTAGGAGCATTGTACGGTATGCTGTAAACACACACACACAAACACACACACACACATCAACATAATCATTCAAGACAAAAGAACACCATTACGCTGTAAACTGGAGACGTTCTCCCTCTCTCTTAATCTCTCTCTTTCCGAGCAGCATCTGTATCCATCCCTGCTGTTGTTGTTAACCATGTTCCCCTGAGCTTTGTGAGGGATCCTTCTATTTCTCCCCACTGTCTCGTCATCAAATAAATTTGAAAGAAAGACATAATTTACTTTGCTTAACTCAATAATTTCAAATAAGTGTTTAGATACAAGAGTATGTTTTTAATATTTGTTCATTGATTAGCTCGGATGCTGTTTTGAGGAATTAAATTCAGTGATCAGAGATGTTGGCAGCATTTAAGTTGCACCTCTTTCTTTATTCTGTGTATTCCTTAATATAATTTACTTTAGTAACCCAGGTTAACCACAGTTTGCACTTTAAATCGAGGGGCAATAACATCATAAAAACATAGTAAAGCTCATGTTGTCGCAATACTTTATTGAAGCTAACGATTATTTTTTAAAGTGAGTTTTTAAACTAATATGATACTGTGTTGAGGCCATCACTAAATATTTTGACTCTATGTCCCACAACCGCCTGTTAAATACAAGATTTGCCTTTGAATATACATTTCTACATTTGGAGTCCCATCAGTAACTGTGTTTGTGTCGTAGCCACAGGACGTAGAAGATAAATAGCATCTCGTTATCCAGACGTTTCTTCTGCCTTGTCCATCTCTGCATGAACATAATTCACATGTGTCCTATATGTGCATCTGGGTGCCTGTGTGTGTGGATGATGTGTTTTTTCATGATCTGATTCAAGATGATGATGATCTATGACGATGTACGCCTGCCCTGCAAATATTTTCAGCAAGACAATCAAGACTCAAGGAACATGACGAATGGAAGAAAAAGTTGAAGAAAAAGTTTAGTTATCTCTGTCCAGCATCGGTCTTCCTTTGGTGGATTTTACTGGCCATCTCAAAGTGACTTGTCAGAATGCTTTGGCTTATTCCAGCGACCACAGTGCAGTGTATATCCAAAACCGGCCCAAGTCTGAGCAGCTAAAGTGAAGTGAAGCCCGAGTGAAATCAGACAGACCAGAGTTGCCTCTCATTTTTTCCTTTGGTTTCAAAACTCGACAAAATGTGCTGATATTTAGCCGAGAAATGCACTGATTATGGTTATATAATGTAAGATAGAGAATAGCTGTAGTTTTGCTTGTAATTTATAAAAAAAATATAGTTTTGGGGTTTGATAAGTTTTATACGCTGTTGATATATTGTTCTGTAAGATCTGTTTTCAAATGAGCAGCTTTGTCTTTGCTCGGCTGTGTTGTGAGAAGTCTGTCTTCAGTGTGGAGCGATAAGCTCTGCCTCGAGCCCACTGAGCTGTAGTTTAGACACACAGTGCTCCGTGTGCCTGGGCATGTTTATTAAATACACAATATAGCGACAGTATGTTCATGGCATGCGTATGGAACCTCTTGGATGTTTTATGTGTGTTATTTGATGGTTTCACAAGTGGGAATGGTTCCTATAAATAAACAGCAGCTCCACGTTGTGTTCATCACAGAACACAGAGGTTGGTGCTTTGGATCCTGTGCTTGAGATAAGAAAGTCAGTCACCAGGGAACATGGATGTTAGGTAAACTCAAGCAGATGCACAACTGGGATGAGAAATATAACAGTAACAGTTACTCGAGGTTGTAGATAATACAGAAAAATGTGGTGGGAGAACTAAAACCTTTTAAACTGATACTGCAGTATGTTGCTTTTTTTGTTATAATCCCGTTCATGTTATCTCAGAAACACCTGTAGAGAATTTCTTTAAATATGGTACAAATGTTCCTTTGGGGTCAGGTTTGAATGGATATGATTTCAGTGGTCAAAGATTAAATTCACTGTGGTTTTACAAAGCATGTTTTTGACCTTGTGAACATGATATCTCAGGAACGCCATCAGTGAATTTCTTCAGATTAGTTATCATGATACATTTGGACGCCAAAATAAATTAAATTAGATTCTGGTGGTCAAAGGTTAAAAGTTCAAGGTAACACTGTGTCAAAACATGTTTTTGGTCATAAATGAAGAAATGATGTGCTAATTAGACACATTTTTAAATAAATGTCTTATTGGATCAAATAATAGAAGTGATGACATTTGATACTGAGGTTCACCTGTGACATTATGTTCTGAGAAAGGTAGAGAAGGAGAGATTGTGATTGAAACATGACTGATTGGCAAGGCAGTGATTCTAGTTCTATGGAACTTCATTCTTACAGCTTTTTTAAGCCGATCAAACGAACCATGAGAGGTTTTGACATCCGTTGTCCCAAATTACATGTTGAGAGAAGTGGACAGTGGCCAGTGGACGTTTGTACAAATACATCTGAACTCTGAGAGGAAACTATAATGGTCAGGTTGTGGAGTGATCATCCAGAAATGGAAAGATTACTCAAAGAGAGAGGACTTTAAGAGCTGAAATCACATTTGTTTCATCTCCATTTGGTCTTGAAGTAGATTTTTAATGTCAGTAAGCACTTTAAAAGAGTTGTATGGACACTGCAGCTGCAACTTTGCCTCCGTAACGTCTGTGTTTTTTTTCCGCCCGAGAGAAACAGAAAAGCTTAAAACCATCCAGTTCAGATTATCTATAGATAAAGACCAGACTAATTTATATTGGCAACAAGCTTTTGAATCTATTTTTTCCACTTTGTTTATTGTGTCTAAATATTTGTCCGTTAACTGATTTAAATATTTGGGGAAAAACGATCATATCTTGCTCAAATGTCAAGTCGGTTTTAGAAGAAAAAAACATCAACAATAAATCAACATAAAACATACAAACACAAGATAATAACAGCTGTTGTTCTCCTGCAGCCATATTGTTATTTTAGGGTGTATTGGACAATATTTCAGCTAAATTACTGACATACAGTAACATAAAAAACTCAAATCGTTTAATCATCAGTTTATGGTGCCAACTTCTCAAAAGGCTTTTCTTTACTCTTAAATTACCATATGCGTATAATGATGTGCTGCTGCTGCAAGAAGAGTCTGCTATTCATGTCAATTCTAACATATCCACAGACCGGAATATAAATACAACTCCAACTCTCTGTCTCTGTGCATGAAAGAAGGTTAGACACTGCAGTGTTACATAAATCCAGATTCTTTGTGCATCCCTGTTCACAGAACGATGAAACACACACCCTCTCCTAATCTTTTTACTTTTCCTGTAATTACAAAATTAGAAAATATGATTTTATTCCATCTGAACATACATTGTAATTTATAATCATATCATTTTATCGTCATGCTGTATTTCCTGCTCTGATTTGACGCAGCGTGGATATGGAGATGGCTATTTTAATTGGTCTGCGGTTGAATCGTCTCATGCTCTCTGAGCTCCCTGGGCCTGATTACGAAGGCTCACGGCTGCCTAATGGAGACAGAATGAGTTGTCTGTGCTGTCCATCACCGCCCCTCCTCACCCTCGCCCTCACCCTTGCCCTCACCCGTCATCTCTCCCGATCCTTTCTGTCAGACCAGTCACAACGCTCTCATCCATCTGCTCTTTGTGTTTCAAGGCTGTGACCTCACCGCTCATATCTGAGTCTGTGTGAAAGGGGAGGCCGGAGTGCGTTGATTCAAGCCTCTCAATTTTCTTTTCTGTTATTATTATATTAAATTACTCTCTGGGGGTTTCATATAGGAGAGAGTATGGGTGAAAAGATGTAGCTTTTTTTTGTGAATTGCTATTTTTGCATTATCATTGAAAGGTCAATTTTCAAAATGGGCTTCTGAGACTTGTTTCCTTCGAGTAAATGCCATGTGCTGTCAGGCCTAAATCCTCTGTTTACAAGTAAAACCTTCCAAGAGACGGACTCCACTACTTAGCACACTTGTATTTCAGTGGAGCAGTTTTGCAGTTATTAAAAATGAATAGTTTACCAACCACGGAGATGCGATAAATGAAACATCACAGCGCAGATTGAGCTCTCTGTGTTTTCCTGCTGGATGCTCTGAATAATGTGGCTTTGAATTTGCAGCCGTGAGGGATGAAGTTCATAGAAGACATTTACATTCATGCACACGGGGTTCACACAGAGGTTCGTCGACATGGAAAATGTTCAAAGGAGAAGCCAAGTTCAAAAGAGAGCACGATGGCAGATTTTAAATAAAACAAGCTGTTACTTGATGAATTAATTAACGTTGAGCAGGACAATATGTTTTAGATTCTCTTAATATATAGAAATGTCTACCTGCAACCATGTTAAGATTTATAAAAGTAATACAATTTAATTAAATGTAAAATAAAAAAATACAAAATTTGCTGACTGAACACATAAAATATATTGATCCAAAACAAAATATAAAAACATTAATAAAATATTTAGGAACACTTCAAAATTTATTTTAACATTTTTACTCTTTGCTTCTTTGATTTTTCTTTTAGAAAGATTACACAAAAACTACTGCGCAGAATACCATGAAACTTGGTGAAAATATGTTTTATCCATTAAATGTTGGTGTGGATCAGGAAGCGGGGCGGATTGAACATTGCAACATTTTTAAAATGTTCCCAGCAAATGAAATAAATTCATCGATCTTTATGAAAAACATGTGGCACATTTAGTTTTTGAGATATGCCCATTGTTCCCTGCTCCTCTCCTGCCTCTCTCTGGCACCGCAGTGCGTCGTCAACAATTTTTTTCAAAAGGAAATGTGATGATGTCATCATAAATGAGAGGAGAGCATCCTTGGCTGTCTGCCACAAAATAATTGATGCTTCAACTATTAAATTATTTTTTATCTTAAATAGATTTGACCATGTTCATGCAGCCACAACTCCCGCAGCCATTTCAGGGAAATCCCACAGTACAACTTTTAATAATATCTGCATGGAGTAATTTGAACAATTTGTGCAACCATAACACAATATACATTTTCATAATGCAATAACACAATAATTATCACTGTCTATGATGCATGTAGCAGCTCCACTTTCATTAAAGGAACCTTGTAGAGCAAAGGTCTTGTTTGATACAATGACAACCTGCCTTTAGAGAGCACTGTGCATATTCACATATATTTGTAATTCACTGTCGTCGTTGCATTTGTGTTTCTAGAGGGAGGGACTGCAACCGGTGAAGAAGATGCCCAACATGATGAAGGAGAGTCTGCCAGTTCAGGACTAGTAGCTCTAGCGAACTGCAGGGGAGGTGGAGGACAGAAAGGACACTGAGGAGACAAAGTAAACCACATGACCAGAACTCGGACGGGCTCCAAATCAGCGATGTTCCCCTCGGGCGGGGATTACCTCCTCCCTGTCGTCTCCCTCACCATCCCTCCTGCTCTTCCTCCCTCGCACAGCAGAGCACACGCCCAGTTCCAAGAGTCGTGAGAGCTCCCTGTGCTCACCCTCCCACACACACACACACACACACACACACACACACACTTGTGCTTACTCTTCCTCTCTCTCATACACACACACACACAATCACACACACAGTCACACACACACCGGTTGTATCCTGCTCATGGTCGTTGGCCTGCCCTCCTCTGCTGCTGCTACCGCTCCAGTCCCAGACCATGAAGAGGCCCAAGCAGCAGACGGGGCCACTGAGCTTCCTGAACTTCTTCAGCAGAAAGCCCAAATCGGAGCCGAGGCCCGAGAGGCCCCTGGAAGCGTGGCCCAAAGAGGAGGTGGCCATCACCCTGACGCCCAGCGAGCACCCAGAGCAGGTGAGGAGGTGTCTTTGTCTTCCCATTTCAAAACATACAGCTCATAGACCAAATTGTAAGAATTGATAAAATAATAAAATCTTATCTAAACAAGGTTATAAAGTGTTTTTTGGAAAATATTAAAATAGAACAAGGTCTTAAAATGGTTTCCTATAAATATGTGTTTTAAGCTGTGATTTAAAAACAGTTTAAGTGCTGGCAAGTCTAATCTCCTCAGGCAAGGAGCTTCAGAGCCTTGGGGTCCTGATGGCAAATCTTCAAATAATAATATTACATAAGGAGTTAGTAGCTCCTTAATGTAACTACTTTTATGCTTATTTCTAATGGTTCTAACTCCATATACATTTAGTCAGATTTACATTCACTGTTGTACATGAAGTTAAGATAAATTATATTTTAGTGGGGTGTTTTTCCAGACTTTTAGATGGTATGGTTTTGGTTCTCAAAAACGAAAGTCTGAAGAACTGATCAAACGAGAGGCTGCAAATCATTAACTTTAGATGTACTACCTTCTGCTTCCTCCCTCTCCCACGCTTCTACAGCCCAAATCCATTAGTGTGTTTATTTAATTAATTGGTAATTTGTAGGAATTATGTTGCCAAGAAACAAAGTGGACCAAAGAGACTATTTACCGACACACACTAGGCCTAACAGATTTTTACTAGTAGTGTGAGGATGCTCCACTTAACTTTTAAAATAAAATATTTTTGAGAGTATAAGAAGAAAATTCTCACAAGTCAGTTCAACTGTGTGTGAGAGGACTTTTTTGTTAATGCACATGAGTGATTGTGATGAAGCAGCAGCTCTGTAACTCTTCACAGGACCTCAGCGTCACAGCAGACGAGGCTGGAGAATCAAGAGTTTCTGGTGCCGAAAGAGGAGAAGGAGAAGGTGCATCAGCAGCAGCCGAGGCGGGTGAGGAGGTCGCCGCCACGGCCGAATGTGCGGGTGGGGTCAGCAGGGGCTCCACCGACGTCCTGTCCCTCTCCTCCTCCAGCCAGGAACAGCTATTGGACGAACATCTGGAGGAGTGTCCTCTGTGCCTGCTCAGTCAACCGCGTTGCCACTTCCCACGACTAAGCTCCTGCTCCCACCGGACGTGCTCCGACTGTCTCCGCCAGTACCTGCGCATCGAGATATCTGAGAGCCGGGTGGGCATCGCGTGCCCGCAGTGCCCCGAGACGCTGGCGCCACTGGATGTGCGCGCCATCCTGGATGACCGGGCGCTGCTGGAGCGGTTTGAGGAGTACCAGCTGAGGCGTTTTCTAGCTGCTGATCCAGATACACGCTGGTGCCCTGCACCTGACTGCAGGTGAGAAACACGGCCCTGCAACATTTAGATTCAGGAGCAGATCAACAGTTTTAAAATAATCTTATGATCACCCGAATGTTCAAATTGTTTATTTTCATTACCCTAGAATAAGCCCTTCATATTAAAGGGGGGTGGAGGCTGCCATATTTTTTACAGTCGTCCAAACTGGAAAAACTAAACACCTTTTGAGAATGAGGTGAAGGGTATTCAGCTGCAACATGCAATTTCACCACTAGAGGTCACTAAATTATAAACACTGAACCTTTAAATGGCCCATTCATTGATAATAATAAAGAGTAATGTAAGGAAGGATAGCTTCTCTTTGTCTAAACTAGAAATAACAAAATATATTTTGAGCAACACAGTTGTGATTCCCTGCACTGTAATTACATTCTAAAACAACTACCCATAATCCAAAGCTACAGAATGACAGCACTTGTGAAAAACCACAGGTTGCACAACATATAAAACGCTGGGAACAGTTTTTCAATGTCAAGATGATTGATTGGATGTTAAAAAGCTGAACTGACATCAGGCAGATTTATATAATCAATATAAAAATAATCTTGATGCGACCAAGATATTTTTTGCAGATCTTGGAACAGAACAGACTGCTTGCGTAAGATGAGCCACGCCTCTATCTCTGGAACTACAACTTTGCAAGAATCTGTCTAAATCTCCTGTATTTTAACTTTTATTAATCATTTACATGTTTAAAAATTCAGCTTTCATGGTTCTTTTTCATCAGCACTTTCATTAGCTTTGTGCCTGGCAAGGATCACAATTTTCTGTCTCCCTGAGGAGAACTGGCTGAAATGTGGATAACATCACCTCATGTATTTAAAGTGCAGCTACACTGTGATTCCATTTCAGAATCGATCTAAGACACAATAATAAATCATACAGAGAGAAATCCACTGTGGAATAGAGACATGTTTGACAGCAGCCTCAATAGACCACAATGCATTGCAGCCAACAAGCTCTGAGTTAACTTTCTCTGCTGTTAAGGACGCTGCTCCATCACTGCATCACCTAAATGCTCATAGATGGGTAATGGGATAGGGCTGCTGATGGGAAATCATTGTGTGTGTGTGTGTGTGTGTGTGTGTGTGTGTGTGTGTGTGTGTGTGTGTGTTCAGTGGATATCTGTGGTCAGGAGGAGCACGTATGCATGCACCAGGGTTCAGGTCTGTCTATCTCCCCAGCTGTCAGTGCTCACAGCCCAGTCATCATGTACGAGTGGAGCAGAGATCAATACACCAATCTGTCTGATGCTGCGCTGAATTAAATTTAACACAGAAACAAGAGATCGAGTTTCCGAATTGACAAACCAAACAAAAAAGAATCACACAATTTTAGTGTTGACATATTCTTAAAGTGGAGGTTGCTGTTGTTGTGTTTAAGATTTTAAATGACTGAAGGTTCCCACAGAGAGCAGCTTTTTTAAGCATTTCACTTGTTATGTAAACTACAAGTTCACATTTGCGGGTTTTGTGTATTACCATGTTCCCGACATACAGACATTCCTCGAGGTCTTAGTGACAGAAGCTTAGCTGGAGATTATCTTGGTTCTGAGAAAGTGTAGCAAAATGCGGGGTTTTGTGCACTTGTGTGTCTGTGCGAACACATTTGTTGTGTTGATTTGCTGCATATGTGATGCTGCTGCAGGGCAGAGGCTCTCTAATGGGAAGCAGTGAGGAGTTGGTCATGCAAGACAGAGCAAGTGCTGCACGGCTACAGCTGCCTAAAACCTGACTGTGTCCATGTTAAAAAACAACTTCTGTCCAACGTTTCTGCAGTTTGATGTTTGAGGAAACTTTACATTGAAACGAATATTATGCTGTATATTTTTATATCTTAATACATATATCAAGCCTCAATCGATATCTAATCCAGAGCCATAATATGACGGCCCCTGTTGAAATTATGCAGCTGCATCTCCTGGTAGATGTAGGATCCGAATGAAACTAAAGAATATTGTACAAAAGTACATCAAGTGTATCCTTGAGCTCCAGAAAACATGTTGAAACTATTTTCTTCTTCATTGAACAGAATTCCAAAGCAGATTTTTCAATAGACTTGTTTTGTTTACACCCAAATTTACATTGGCTAACACTATTCCTGTTTCCTGCCTGTTGCTATGGCACTGCGACTGCATGTTTCTTTCATACCGTCAATCAACACAATAGCCTGAAACCATCGGGGTGGGGGTGGGGGGATGCCACTGTGTGCTCGTGCTATCATCTGCATCCATGTGTACGATATGTAAATGAAAACTGGGATCCGCGGCACATTTTTCACTGATGTGCTGAGGTGAGGTGTTTTCACATTCACCTGCTGAAGGTGGAAGGTTTATCTGTATGAAACATAATTGTGTGATTTGAATGTTTCAAGGCTCCAGTGCAAATCCTCATATGTGTTTGGAGGAGATCCTTCAGAATTTATCAACCATATTCCATCTGCCATTTCTCTCTCTCCTCAGCTACGCAGTGATAGCTTACGGCTGTGCGGAGTGTCCCAAGCTGAGCTGCGGCCGCGAGGGATGTGACACGGAGTTCTGCTACCACTGTCGCCAGCTGTGGCACCCCAACCAGACGTGCGACCAGGCCCGGCGGCAGCGAGCCCGCCACACCTCAGGTGGCAACGATGCCTCCACGCTGTACGTCTTCAATGAAGAACCTGGAGGAGGTACGAACAGCAGCTTTGTCGCAGTCTCAGATATCTTGTAACCAGGGAATCAGCGAGCTTGGCTCCGTCCACGTGTAACACAATCCACCTACCAGCACGTCGAGCGCACATTAATTAACATCTGATATCCTGTTTGTTGAATGCACACAAAAGCTGAAGTGTAAAATGAGCCTTAAACATTTCTTGGCTCCAGTTTTTGGAGACTTCATTATTTGCTTCAAGGAAAAAGAAATGTCGAGCTCTCCCTTTAAGTGAGTGAATATTGCAGAGCGTGTGTTGAACCTGTTCCGTGTTCACTCTGTCGCTTCAGATGCAGAGGAGATCAAACCGTGCCCTCGCTGTGGTGCCTACATCATGAAGACCAATGATGGCAGCTGTAACCGTATGAACTGCACTGTGTGTGCCTGTCAGTTCTGCTGGCTGTGTATGCAGGAGATCACCGACGTGCACTACCTCAGGTGTCCTCTTCACAGTCAGCTCATAACTACACGAGAAACATACACGAGCAAAAGCATATATCAAACTCTTTGGGCTTTTTTTCAAGATTTTAGACCGAAAGATTAATCAAAAATAAAAAAAACGTATAATTAAAACTAATTTCTAATGTAAATAAATTGCCATTCTATAGTGAATTATATATTTGTGACCTATATTGTAGAAGCACTGCACAAAAAGCGCAAGAGAAAGAGCAGCAGAATTTGATCCTTCTCAACAGCATGAGGTGGAAATAAATCGATGGCAACTTTGGCCTTTGTAAGATTCAGTTTGTTCTAAAGAATGAAAACTTCTTCGCTACAATAATTTCATTAATACCTACTATTTCATCTATAGGTTTTAAGCCAGAGATAAATACTTGTCAGGTCAAGAGGACACACACACACTATGTCAGTGTTGTAAGACTGCTCCACTTTCAACCATTCGTCTGAGCTCCTGGGAATCAATGCTGACTTGTCAGTTCAAAACCCCTCCCCTCTCCAGATCTCCAGTGCGGCAGAATATGTAACTTAAGCTACAAGACTAGCTAAAAGCTGATTAAGTAACATTAAACAAACAGTGTCATCTCTCTACTGTCTGAGGTCCATTTTAGAACAACAGCGTATGAAAGATGTAGATTTAGAGTTAATATAAAGATGGACGACGTGTCTCCATGTCCTCCTAGAAAAATGAAGCTGAATGATGATTGATGTTATTTGGAGCCAAACTCTGCTCAGTAGTGATTGTGGAGTCAAGACACATGAGCACAACTGATCACTAGTCAGTATCAGCTGTCAATCATCACGTTTCACAGCTTTAGAAAAATGAACTCTTGGTGAAACAAGTACCCTTAAAATGACAGAAACAATCTTTTGAGAAATATTTGGTACTTTGACCTTTTAATTTGGTTCATGTCCTATCCATTAACATGGAGGAGCACTAGAGGGGGGCAATCAAGATGATTTATTGGCTTCACTTTTGGGGAGCTGTCACGTCATCCATCTTTATCTACACTGTATAGTGCAGAGATGCATGATTTTTTTTTCACATATTGATTTTTTTTCATGTCTCGGGTTCTGCTCCTGAGTCGCCGTCTTTTCACACTTTCTCTCCTCCTCTCCCCTCCATGCCCCCTCACCCTCCTTTTCTCTTTCCTCACCCCTCTCCGCCTTTCACGCTATAAATAACAGCGAGCCTCGTGCAGAAAGGCAAAGCTTTTATCATGTCACCGCAAATCTGCAGGTTCAGTGTACAACTTAATCATCTCGCCATAATGCCACCCTAGAGTGGCATTTGCTGTTCCAACACAAACGTGGGCTTTGAAAAACTGCGTTGCCTGAGGTGCTGCGTTCGTCATGTTGTCACTGCTGTTCCCTAATTGCTGCTCGATTAAGACCAAACAGCATTAGTCAGCGTTGAACTGTTTCTCTGGCAGTTGGAATTACAGCACAACACCTCTGCTCGGAGATTAAAGTAACATTTAAGTCGACAGTTATCACTAAGTCACATCAGTCGTCAGAATATCTGCTCCTGATGAACAGACGTAAACAGGCAAGCTTTTCCATTTCTCTCTTCTCTAAATAAGTGTCATCCAGAAAGGTTGAAATGAAAAAAGGACGAGATCATTCAGTTTGGCTAATGATGCAATGAAGGCAATGAGACAGCCTGCTAATGTCGTCATGCTGTTGCACGTCCTCATTTATTTCATTGGCATCTTTAAAAAGAATCAGTCAAAAGTGTGTTTGTGTCTTGAGTTGGTTGAAGCTACGTATATGCTCACAGTGATAATGCTAACATGCTGGTGTTCATAGAAAATGACCAGATTCACCATTATGTACCTAATTTTGAGGTGAAGTTAATTTTGCAGCTACTAAAAACCACAGTACTGGAGAAATAAGATATAGACCTGATAGTGATGCTGGATGAAAAGTAAAGGTCATTACCAAGGTCATGAGAAAGCATCCCCTGGGAACCTTGAATATCTGTTGCAAATTTATAGAAATTCATCTAATTTCTAAGATATTTCTCTCAAGACCAAACATTTCATTCTTCTACAGGAAAAAATCAGGGCATCTTCCTCTGGGGAAAATGTCTTTACAAAACCTCATCACCATCCATACAATAGACACTGTCCTCCACCCTGAATTTTCTCATGATAATAAATCTGACCCACTTCTGTTTGTATCTCAGTCCCTCAGGATGCACATTTTGGGGGAAGAAGCCATGGTCACAAACCCGCAAGGTTCTGTGGCAGGTGGGCATGTTGCTCGGAGCACCGGTGGTCATCTCCCTTATAGCGGGCATTGCCATCCCAGTCATCATTGTCGGCATACCGATCTACATGGGCCGAAAGGTACGAAACGATCAGGGAACATGGGAAAATACTGGTTTGAAGAGTGGAACTGACTGAGTATCTACACTGCAGAACATTTTCATATGGCCTCGGTATTCTCCTTTCTCCTTTTCTCTCACGCATGCTTTCTTTGGTAGACATGTATAATTGACAGGAACAAGGATAAGGAAAAAAAACTGATCTAATTTATGTTTTATGTGTTACCTTCCAGGTCCATGGTCGCTGTAAGAAAAACAGTATCTCAGGAAGCAAGCACTACTTGACTGTGGCAAGTGGGGTGATGATGTCAGTCTTTGTGTCGCCAGTTATAGCAGCTGTCACTGTGGGTAAGAGGCAAAGTGCAACATAACCAACCACCTCCTGTCCAGCACGCTGGGATACAGTGGCTCACACAGGCGCATTAATGGAAAGTGCAAGTGCAAAAGCCGCAACACAACCACCAATGCCACACAATGGAAACACAACTGCAAATGAGTGACAAAGGATGATTTCCTGATGATGTCTTGCCTCCTGCATGGTTTACCCACGTACTACACACAAAATTTAAGAGTACACACACACACACACACACACACACACACACACACACACACACACACACACACACACACACACATAGTATTTGGATGACTCATGCCTCTCCCTACTGTAGGTAACATTCACAACTGTGACAGACATCCTTAAGGCTTTGTCAGCTTCCCTCTGCAGTGTCACAACCATCTCGGTACCGCACGCTGACGGACCTTCCATTGACTCACACACACACATTTAGTCGTACTGCTCTCTTCACCCTCCCCTCCTAACCCTCTGCATCCCTCTGTACTGTCTCTGCGCCCCTTCACTTTCCACCCTGGCTTCACTTTATCGCTGTCGTCCGTTTTGCGCTCTCATCTACAACTGTTATTTTGTTGCTCATATTTCAGTCGCAGCTCCTTGTCTTCTTCCTCTGTTTTTGACCCACACACACAGTTTCGCATGTTCATTCCACTCCCTGTGATCAGTTTGGCCGACAGCCTCGTCCTCTCGTCCTGGTTTCACCCTGGTGCTGAGTCAATAGCGGCCCAGTGTTCCCGCTGGGTTAACGATGCCTCTTTGTTTGGTTGGCACTCTGCTTTGTGTTCCTGAATTCCTCCCTCAATCACAGGTTGCATAATCACGCACAGGCTGCTGCTCGTTGAGTTTGGACGTTTGTTGAAAGGACTTTGGTAACGGTTATGATGGACAGTAGAGAAAACTCATTTATGCACTGAAATATTCTCATATTGAAATAATATAGAGACGGGGCTCAATTATAGTGAACAACTTTTCCATTGCTTAATTGTTATGTCAAAACTATATTATTATATTCTGCCAGTCAGTGAACTGTGTCTTTCCTGCTGGTGCATTTAAGGACATTCATGCATTCACAATCTATGTTGTCAGAAAAATTAAACAAACTCACTGTCAATGGCAAAAAGGTTTTTCCTCCTGTCATAAAGATATAAATATAGATATAGATTCATGTATAACTAGGTAATGGAATGGAAACAGAAGAAGTTTTAAGGGAATAATGAAGGTTCCCTGAAATCAAACTAATGAAATAACAAGTGATATAAACAGATATTCAAAGAATCTTTAAAATAAATACTTATATATAAGAATAAGACTAAAGAAAGATCAAATTAACTACAATTCAATCGAAATGTATATAAAAGCTTGAAATTAAAAGGTCCCTTGTGTTGCATTTCAGTCCAGTCCATAGTGAAGAAGGGAGGGCTCCCTCTTGTGTTGGCTGTGGGTTATTGCAATAATATAATGAACACGTACAACTCAGAACTTGTAATTTTGAATGTAGTTTTGAATGAGTTGGCATTACTCAACAGCAGCAGTACTTTTTATATAATAATTTCTGTGTTATTAAAAGATAGTTTGGCACAAACCGTAGAGAAATGGCTATAATCACATATAATGTATAATTAATTAATTTCTGCTACTCTTCTGTTTCCTGTTTTCCTGCAGGTGTGGGTGTGCCGCTAATGCTGACTTATGTGTACGGGGTCGTCCCCATGTCGCTCTGTAGGAACGGCTGGTGTCGACCGCAAAGTGAACCTCCTGAAACACATAAAATCCAGCTGGAGGACTTAGCCAGCTGTGAGTATAAACGTTTACACATCGTAATGAAAAGGTTGGGGATATTATTTTACTGAAATAATTGAGTACTGAGTTGTGGTTGTCGGCCTAAACTGATGACGTTTCAACTTCTCTTATAGATCTTCTATTCTCTCATGTAGTCAGCGACCACTGGACAGGTCAGAACAACCCAGCGCTCGGCGATACCAGCGTCCAGGAAGTTAGGGTCAGTATACAGGAAGTGGGCGTCCTACCGAGTACGAGCACCACGCCCCCAGACTTAGATAGCTATGTGAGATTGGATGAAGCCACAAAACGCCATGAATATACCCAGCGGGACAGTCCGGTGGACTGCGAGGTGGTCATTGTGCCTGATAGTGAACTCGACGACACACAAGCGCTTCCTCTGAGGTAACTGTTGCTCTGGATTGCCTGTTTTTATTTTAGGATTTTTTACTAAAAGTGATTTTTCAGTATTTGTCTTTTATTACTTAGGAACTTTTTGCATGGTCTGGTTTAGTGAATACCTTGCAGCTTTACAGCTGATACCTTTATCTATGTCTGTTTTCCCTCCAGGGAAGGAACCAATATTGAGGTCCGGGTAGAAATCGAGACCCATCCCAGAGGCGCCCGCCAGTCCAGCCTAAGTAGCATCCTGTCCAGCCGAAGCCTGTCAGTGGAGTCCCTGGGACACTCACAGTCACAGTCCCAGGACTTCTTGTGTGCCTCAGAACTGGAGGAAAGACGAGAGGGGGGACGAGGGAAAGGAGAAGAGCAGGAGGGACGAGAGAAACCAGGAGGGGGAGCAGTAGGAGGGACACCAGTCTTTGAAATAGAAAGTGTATGAGGTCCTCCAGTGCAGGCTTTGTACTTGGTTGAAGATCTTATTCAGGTTTAAATGGACACAAACGAAACCATGTGCTGACGCGTCGCTGGACTGACCCGAAAATCGGCCAAGGCCTCCTCCTGCTTCCAAGACGGGCCCCGTCCACCAGATGCCTTCTAGCGCCATCCTCTTAAAGGAAGACGCAAGTTTTAGAGAGAGCAAATGAAAAATGAGACTGTGTCTGCGTGTGTGTGTGTGAGACAAATAGCATGAGACATAAAAACTGGAGGGGGGGGGGCACACTGTATTGCAGAAAGGAAAGCACCCATCAGGGAATGTAAAACAGAAGTGACTGAGAGCATGTTAGCCAATTAGATCAGTCTGTTTTTTATTTTCTCTGTGTTCCTTAGGACCACCTTACACCCCCCTCTATTATAAATCTATTTCATGAAGCCCTCTCTTTGTCTGGCTGTACTCTTATACTTCTTTCAGTGACCTTACCTCCTTCCTCCCACTTTTGTCCTTTACAAATAAAGAAACACTCACAAGCATGATTTGTTTTATGGCGGAGATAAACAACCGATCACATCCTAAGACATGCTGCAAGACAGTGAGATGATTTTTACTACCTTAAAGAATATCTCCAGAATTATAGGATGCAGTGTTCACAGCTGAATTGGGCGACGCATGCTGCACTGTTGGATTCCTTGCGTGTGAAAGGAGTCCGGCCAAAAATGACATTTTGAAACTGTTCAAGCCTGGATTCAAAAATGCTCTGTGACATTGTGTCAGGTTTATAATCATAATAACAAATATTTATCACAGATCTTTTACGGAAGCAGATTAGAGGCAATATCACTTCAGCGCGTTGTTTTAGCTCAGCTTTTAGCCTTTAAGAGGATTCTTCCTCCCAAACGGAAGGAAGGAGATGCTGCGTTAGTTTGAGAATGCTCATTCTAATGCAGATATGCGCATTAGTAACAACGTGGCAGCAACACAGCACTCTGAAGACTCTCAACTTTTAAAAATAGCTGCATGACTACTCGCTGCGTATCCAGGACAACACATATATGCATATGCATATTCACACACACACACACACACAGACCGCAGTTAGTGTAGCTGCAGTAGTGTGCACTGCTGAGAACATTAAATACAAACTGAAGACCCTCTCAAATATTCACAGAGCACCAAAAGTTTCAACAGCAGCATGCCACCTCAGGCTGAACTGTAATAACCCCTTCTAGAGGACTTGTGAGAAATACGTGACTATACGTGCACTGCTTAGCTTCCTGAGTGTGAAATACATGTGAGAGATGAACTCAGATGTGAAATGATAACCTGTGCTGGGTTTTGGAGAGAATATAAAATAAAGATTTCACCATGAAGGACAAAGAATGCAATGATTTGTATGTGTCAGAAATTGATTTTTCTTAAGAAACAGTTGAAGCAGGGTTGGAGAGTTCACATTTATCTAATATAAAACATGCAGATCATATTTTTTTGGGGGTTGGGGGGTCTTTCGCCTGTGTGTATAGCTTTACAGTCAGATTAAATACAATGCACCAAAATGACTCTGTCCAAACTGGACTGAGGATGCTGCGAGTTGTCTTTGTTGTTTAAAATAATTTATAGTTTGTTATGTTTAAGAAACACATTGTATTTTATCGTCTACCCACAAGTGGAAATGGGTTTATCAAAGTTGTAATAACCAATTATATCCAATAGAGGGAGCTAACATGCAATAAATCGAAGAAAAAACTGATGCATTAGTTTGAAATTTGCCATGTTTTAGGGTTTATATTTGTTTTAGGAAACAGGATTTAATGTCCGTATGAATTTTGTCATAAATTGGAAAGACACATGATGATGGGTAGAAATATCATTGCTTATTACAAGGGGATAATAAAAGCTGCTAAGCAACCACAGTTCAATTATCCAGAGAAAAGCCAGAGACAAACAGTGCAAGTGTAAGCTCATTAACCATCAGCTCATTAGTGAGTGTAAGGCCATTTACACTCCAATAATTGTCTAGTGATTTGTTTCTATGGTGGAGATTG